CACACCAATAATAATCAGTCTGTTCAGTTCTTGGGTGGCACCCGTAAATAGCCACTGACAGATAGCTAGTGGAGTGACACTGCATACCACATCATCGTGTTCATTCGCACAACATCCAAACAGAATCTTATTTTTACACACACAGTTTTATCTTACCTTTGTAGATGCACAGACATCAGACATAACATTTGTAAAAGCACACACACAAGTCAAGGGCATTGATCACATCATGTTGCTCACCAGATAGCTACAGTCAACAAGTGGTTTTTCCATTCAACAAGTGGCTTCTCCAATCAACAAGTGGTTTTTCCACTTAGATACGTTGGCTCGACCTAGTTATTGGGAAACAAAATTACAATAGTGGCCTTTGATATAATTAACATCGAATTAATGAATAATCATGTTCATAGAAATAAACAAAATGAATGGCGACAATCTTCTATATCAACATGGATACGTAATCAAATCGACGTTATCATTCTTCATCACCATCGTATTCCAGTGTCAGTATCTGTTTAATCTAGATAAAATCAAGAATATAAAATCAAAATTTTAAAATCCTAAGAATTGGATAAACCTAAAAATTTGAAAATACCTATTGTATCACAGTCATGTTGGGATGAATATCACAGATAGTTATAAAAATTTTCGTCGATAACCAATGGTCAACCACATTATAGTGGATACGTCAGTTGGCATAAAAACAGAAGATAAAATGACAAATTGGATAATCCTATTAATTTGAAAATTGCCTATTGTATCACAGATAATGGCTCCAAAATCGAATGGTAAAAATAATATCACAGAATTCGCCACCAAATAGCTAAATAATTGATGATAATAATTAGTTAAATGAAATAATTCCAAAATAATTCAAAAATACTTAGCTTCAAATAATTTGATGATCAAAACAAATCCATCAAAATCAATGTAATGTCGTGGCTAAAGTAAAATTGTCAACAACACCGAATCAAGTGAGCAGCAACAGCAGCACCATCATCAATTGATACAAATAGTCATCACGCCTGATAGCAATAATGATCATCTGAGCACGATCAATCCATTGAATCTTAGTCTGTCAGCAACAGCAACAACATCGATATCAACCACCAGCCATGTATTAAAATGCTAGGACAACTTGATGAATCTTCGAGACAAGAAAAATTTTCAATATATAAAGCCACCAAAGCCACCAATCAATCGCGTCCCGAAACCTAATGTTATGCTGTCAGCTTATGAACAACATTTGGTTTATCATCATCAATAATCAACATTTGCATCAAGTGAATCGTTGCCATAGTTGGAAAGAAAGGCTTCATCGATACACACAACATATCAATAACACAACACGTTGAAACATAGGACACACTTTTCTTTCTTCAACCTTTATGATTTTCTTCGTGCTTTGTGTTCATTACCATTGCTTCAAAACAATCTGCGGCAATCCTCCATCTATTTATCGATTTTTGTGATTTAGGACGCTCGGTCGTCGGGTATAGATGGGTACCGGGAAAAAAACCATCAGCAGCCGAAAGCCATTCAAAATCATCAACGACACTGACGACGATCGATCAACCATCCCATCGCCAACCATGAGTCGAACCTCGAACGACGAAGACATGGAACAACCAATTTCGCATATCGAAATACCAACAACATCGGCACAACCGATCATGTCCAATCAAACCAAGCAACAACAACCAACAACAACAAATGGCGACTTTCAAATGTCATCGTATCAAATCCCGCCAAACTTCAATCCTGGCGTTTCACAGTACCAGCAGACATACAATTCTTGGTGCCAGTTATTATTTTCGATACTACAGGACCATTACCAATTGCCACCACCATCATCGCTGTCGAATCTTGACTTTTCTAACATATCCCTAACCTCCGGGACATCGCAAAACCGTCACTCGCTTCGCTCGTGAGGTTTTGCTCGAAAGGCACTCCTCCAGGACATCGCAAAACCATCACGAGCTTCGCTCGTGAGGTTTTGCTCGATTGTCCTCCCGGGAATTTGGCCACCGATAATCATTGTGCAAATATCCGAGCAGTTTGCATTAATATCAAAAAACCAATGAATATTCACAAAACAATCGATTCCGGTAATAACTGATAAATATACCGCAAAACTATGGACATTATAGTGAGGTTTAAATAAACCTTAAATTTAGGAAGAAAATTGGTGAGGTTTTAATAAACCTCAAATGTAGCAAAAAATAGATACAAAAACGATACTGTAGCAATTTAAAATGTAGCAAAAAAATTTGATACTGTAGCAAAAAAAATTGGTACAGTAGCAATTGAAAATGTATCAAAATATTGATACTGTATTGGAAAGGAAATTTGTAAAGAAAATGATACTCGATTGATTTTAGAACAAGAACGAATTTATTGAGGAATTTTCATTGGAGATTTTCATACACATACCGGAAAAATTTGACCGTTTGGTCTCATTATCATTGTTACTACTTTTCTTTTCGTTTTTTGCTTTCAATAACCAACAGTCATCAATTTTATGATTTTTCTTCTTGCAATATCGACAAAATATTGCCCTTTTATTTACAATATTAGCTTCATTTTCAAGGTTAGGTTAGTAATTTTCCACACAATGAATAACATTAACAAATGATCATCAAAAAAAATTTTATCTGATTCGAAAAAATGTTGTAAAAGTCGATAATAATTCAAATTCAGTTTGGTTCAGTTTGGACTTTTGAATTTTGAATTTTGAACTGGTCATGTTAGTTTGGACTTGTTATTTTCTCGATTCTGAACTGGCCGTGTTAATTTGGACTTGTTATTTTCTCGATTCTGAACTGATCGTGTTAGTATGGATTTGCCATTTTCTCGATTCTGAACTGATCGTGTTAGTATGGATTTGCCATTTTCTCGATTTTGAATTCTGAATTGGTCGTGTTAGGTTGGATTTGTTGTTTTCTCGATTCTGAACTGGTCGTGTTAAGTTTGACTTGTTATTTTTTTTATTTTGAATTTTGAATTCTGAACTAATCGTGTTAGGTTGGATTTGTTATTTTCTCGATTCTGAACTGATCGTGTTAGGTTGGATTTGTTATTTTCTCGATTCTGAACTGGCCGTGTTAGTTTGGACTTGTTATTTTCTCAATTTTGAATTCTAAATTGGTCGTGTAAGGTTGGATTTGTTGTTTTCTCGATTCTGAACTGGTCGTGTTAGTTTGGACTTGTTATTTTCTCAATTTTGAATTCTGAATTGGTCGTGTTAGGTTGGATTTGTCATTTTCTCGATTCTGAACTGGTCGTGTTAGTTTGGACATTTGCCATTTTCGAATGAAATTTTATTGTGACACGTTACATATTTAAATAGGAATTTTTATGAATTTGTGGCACGGACATCAAAAAAAGTTTGCCATCCCTGTCGTATATGATATAAAAGCACTATTTAAGTTATATTTGAATGTGCGGCCCACATAAAAAATTTTATTTTGAAAATGGCCCGCTGTCCGAAAAAGGTTGCCGACCCCTGATTTAACCCATTACCTTCCCCAATTATCGAAATTGATTCACAAAATGAAAATTTATCAGAAACAACAAATAAGAAAAATTTAATACAATATAGTAGATTGGTGTTCGATAATTAGATTCGATATTCAACTGCTACTTAAACAATTGGCGTTTACGCCTTTCTGAATTAGTTTTAGAATTGCCTCGAACCTGCCTGTTATTTGTTTATCGTATTAAAATACAACTTGGTGGCAGAGGTATTTTGTGATTTTAATTGTGTTATTTTTGGCGTTTTTGGTTTGTCAGTTGTTCCTAAAGGCCAAAGTTGTCAATAAAAGATTGCCCACTGTTCCTAAGTTTGATGGATCGAAACCATTTTTATGGAAAAATTTTATAAAAACTTGGAAAATTTTCGAAAGATGTGTGGGAGAAGAAGCCGCGGAAGTAATATTCTTCAACGAAGCTTTGTCCGGTGCGGCGTTGGACTATGTCGTAGGCCTCGACAGAAGGGCGGCGAACGCGTGTTGTGATGTTGATCGTAAAAGGTTTTCATGAATCTTTGATTTTGACCCAGATTCTCTTTTGCCAAGGAGATTCGTTCGTCGCGTTTTTAGAATTACGGACATGATTATTAGAATTACGGACAAGTAAAAGTATTTCGAAAATTACATCATTTAAAATGTGTCAACAAAGTAATAAAAAACAATTGATACATAGACATAAACATAAATTAATTCAGCTTTCCCACCGAGTGGTAGAAATCGGTTTCATATTTAGATTGGGCATATGATTTTTGAAAATTGTCCAACGTTTTACAGAAGATGAAAAATAATTGTTTCGCATATTAATTTAAAATTATTTTTTATTTGGCTAATTTTCATCTGAAAAAAAGAATATCATGGAAGCACTAAAAAAACTATTTACTAATCTGACAAATGTTGTTGTACACGGTGGTAATGTTGTTGTTGATGATGGTCCGAAAAATAACGTTAATTTGGCCACAGAAAATTATACAAAATTACGTGGACGTGATTCACAACAAAATATGATGATGATACGGAAGAATAAAAATTTTGCCACCAAAATCACTAACAATGATGAAAATGCCGTCGTCTTTGATCCAACCCGTAAAATCGAAACGAAAATTAAGAATAAACCTGGTGGTAAATATTGTTATTCACATTTTCGATATTTCCACTACTAGCAGGCAAATTTATATAAAATCAATTCAACGAAGTTTGGGCATCGGTTGTGTTTTCATGGCGTTCTTCGGTGATCAATTAATTACGTCGGTCACCCATCGATTACCGAACCATTGTTCCATCCTACAGGCTGACTTATTTACTATTCATCTAGCAATTCATTGGATCATTGATAACCACCTGGATTATTCGGCCATCACCATCATCTGCAATAATATTGGGGCACTTCAGCACATTGGAAAAAAGAACAACAAAAAGAAATCTGAGATTGCCGAGTCAATCATTTGTGATGAAACAACTAAGACAAAATTCTTAATTATTTAAAAATGGTTTATTAATGATTGTATATTAATCAAAATTCAAAAGCACACAAAAAACAGTACATGAATTACAAAACAAAGAACACATGTACGTGCACACAAATTTTCGTTGGACAATGGGTTTTTGCTCGCTAACTATTCGTGTATTGTCAAATAGCGCCAAACAGCGGGACCGTTCATGAAGGACGTTTCTCGTCGCGACAATCATTGGATCGATTAACAGCGAAAAAAGTGAAAAATCCTCTAAAACAAGCCATTTTCATATAAGATATGAATTCAAAAAGAAGAAAGTTTTTTATCTTATCCTTAAAGCTATAAATAAAAAAAATAAAATAGAATAATATAATATAGTAAATTGGTGTTCTTATTGCTTAATTGCTTACTGATGGTAGTGATTCATGATAAATTTCAGCATGATGATCCATTTTTGAATGACAAATCGGTGATTCCCTCATCAATCCAAAAACATGATGGTAAGCCAGAGAGTCAGCCACAACGGAAGCTAAGATCGCATGAAATTTATACTGAGTTCCATCAGATAAATCCATCGTGTGGCCATCTTGATAAAGTTTATTTAAATCATCGACCAAATTGCCAAAAAATGCTGAATAATTATCCTTAATATCTGAATATTTGGCAAATATGACCGGAAAAACAGTCACCAACGTTGAATTATTATCTTGTTTTTGGTGGCTCGTGCTCCAAGAGCTGAACATGGCTCGCATTGGTCGATAAATAATGATAATCTTATGCAATTAGGGTGTTATTAAACACTAACCCGTCGCGATAACATTTTATATCGTTATCACTCTGAATATTTGATTCACTTTGTATCAAAGACTATCATGGGATAACATTTTCTTCAAATCGCTCCTGAACAGCCGCCACTTGGAATATTTTTGTGAAACTTTGAACAATTATACGTCGCAACACAAGGTACAAGAATCATATTAAACGTACCATACCTTATGTTTCGCGTTATTCGGGTATTAATGATGTTTTTGCCAAACTTTTCAAACATTTGCATATTTGAATTTGATAAAGTCGATTCCAATTTTCTGAAAAATAAACTTTCATTTTCATCGGTTAAATATTCGTCGCTAAATTCATTTGTTTCAGAGTCAGTTGATACAGAATCTTGATCATCAAATTGATCAACACTATTCAAACATCCGTTATTAATTGGATCAAAGAACATTTGGATATCATCATCACATGTTGCGGGATCATTTAGTGGAAGACTGGTCATTTGGTTATCATCATCACTGCTCCAATATTTTCATTGTTTAATTGGAGATTGGTTTTTTGGAATTCCAAAGTTCTTTCTACAAATTTTATCAGGTTTGTTGGTATGTTGGCCGCTCTTAAGCAGTCTAAAAGGTATGTGTGTGGAACAGAATCTAATGCTTTTTGGATATCAATCTAAGCTGTTTTGAGGTTTTTGTTGATTAATACTTGAAGTTTTGCATCCTGACAATTTCTTCTGGTTTGTTGATTGATTATTATTATTTATATATTAATTTTATATTTATCAATGTAGAAAAATAAACTAAGAAACAACAGCGCAGAAGCAGATCGAGTGGATGGTTCTCGGCTCTTTGTTTTGGGGGTTCGAATTTCGAACATGTTTTTGGCTGCGACAGTCAATTTTTGATTTGGTTAAAAAATATATGCTTGTAATTATCTAATTTGAAGATGACAATAAATGTGGTCTTTGGACCAAGATTATCGACAGCCTGAGCTGTATCAAACTTCTACATCAATTTTTAAATCAATGATAGGTGATGATTGATTTTAAAAAGTTTGTCGTCGATGTTATGATTTTCAATTTTGATGATGAAGTTTTCGATTTCTTCTTTTACTTTTTTGATCATTTGAAAAACAATTATAATCATTGTGATTCATATAATCATCACGATCTGCTTAAACTTCAAAAGGGGATGTAACGTGATATTTGAACGTCCATCCTCGTTGTGAACTTGTGAGTCATATTCGAGTTGTTTATCACATACGGAAAAACCAGCCGGGATTCAATTCGGGTGTGTCCAGTGTGTATGTGAATAACAGAAATATGTGTGTGTATTTACAAATAAGCATCCGCAGACTTTAAATCAATCAATCATCTGCATCCGCTTCTGTGTCCTGTGTGGGTGTCTGTATTGTGTACCAGCTTCAGTCTGACAGAGGCATGAGGGAAGGGCCCAGAACGAGAGTGGTACACGACTCAGCGAACCAGGCTTTGGAAGATTGTACACACTTGCTTCAGTGAGACATTCTATCCATTCACTGTCATTGGCCACTAAACCTCTTAACATGGCGGCTTCCTTGAAAGTAGCACAAAGCTGGCCATCGACTGTTCTAAGGTCTTCATAACTTTTTGGACCTTTGACATTTTGAAGCAATAACCGAAGATAAAAACGATCAGATTCGCGAGCATTTACATAATATATGTCATATATAATACTTCTCAGTACTATATAAAGGTGCAGTTATGACGGGGCCTGTTGTGGTCAAACGGAAGTCTACAATACTTCCATCGATTATGTTCGGCAACAACTATACTCAACACAGTTTAATAAAAATGCGTTGTGTGAGCGACGTTGTGTGAGCGTCGTTGTGTGAGCGTCGTTGTGTGAGCGTCGTTGTGTGGCGACGTTGTGTGAGCGACGTTGTGTGAGCGTCGTTGTGTGGACGACGTTGTGTGAGCGACGTTGTGTGAGCGACGTTGTGTGGACGACGTTGTGTGAGCGACGTTGTGTGTGAGCGACGTTGTGTGAGCGACGTTGTGTGAGCGACGTTGTGTGGACGACGTTGTGTGAGCGACGTTGTGTGAGCGACGTTGTGTGAGCGACGTTGTGTGGACGACGTTGTGTGGACGACGTTGTGTGGACGACGTTGTGTGAGCGACGTTGTGTGAGCGACGTTGTGTGAGCGACGTTGTGTGAGCGACGTTGTGTGAGCGACGTTGTGTGGAGCGACGTTGTGTGAGCGACGTTGTGTGGACGACGTTGTGTGAGCGACGTTGTGTGGACGACGTTGTGTGAGCGACGTTGTGTGAGCGACGTTGTGTGGACGACGTTGTGTGAGCGACGTTGTGTGAGCGACGTTGTGTGGACGACGTTGTGTGTTGTGTGACGACGACGTTGTGTGAGCGACGTTGTGTGACGTTGTGTGGCGACGTGTGTGAGCGACGTGTGGACGACGTTGTGTGGACGACGTTGTGTGCGACGTTGTGCGACGTTGTGTGTGAGACGACGTGGACGACGTTGTGAGCGACGTTGTGTGGACGACGTTGTGTGAGCGACGTTGTGTGGACGACGTTGTGTGGACGACGTTGTGTGAGCGACGACGTTTATCATGTATCTTAACCGGAAATAATCCAATAAAAATATTCTTATCTGAATGAACTTCGAACTTCAAGCAAAATTTTTTGACTACTTGCAATAGTTCCTCACAACGGCGAAGAAGAATAAACCGTATAATAATTTGCATTTGATTTATTCCGATTTCCAATAACTAAATCTTTCAATCAATGATATGCTCGACCCATTGTTTAACATAAGAATAAGCCAGCATCTGGTGCATTTGCATGTTCGTTCGGTTCATGAACGTCACAAAGAAAAGTGTTCCCAAATAGGAAAATCTCTCGTTAATTTGATAGCTGTCCAAAACTTCTTCAGTTATAATGGATGATGAATATGCAGATTTGACCATGCCAAATGAGATTTGACGGACAATTTCGACAGAATACATGTTCACTTCTTCTGTTTTGTATTAAACAATAGTGGCAATGCCAAATTTTGCCCAATGAAAATCCTAACCATTCTGGCTGGTTCATTCTTCACCGTTTTCAATAACATCGATTTTTTCAAATCTTCTGAAACCGATATGTTATTGGTTAATGGATTTTCTATCAATCATAATCTTATAAGAATAAGAATTCCAATTGATATATCTACCATCAAAATTGACAATACGAATGATGAATGTAAGAATGTAATTTTCTATGTTTACATTGAAAATTACATTCATATGCGTATGGCAATCGCAAAAAACCTACCAGTAGTATGTCTGGCACGATGAACAACGTTGGAACAATGTCTGAACATTTACTCGAACACATTATATTGTTGTTCAAAATTACAATCAATTTTATCCTAGTATTACATTACATTAAACAATAATCTACAATGATGTTGATCATCGATTTCTTTTTTCATTGGTTTTGAAAACCAATATAAAAGTAATCACAAATCACAAATAACAGTAACAATTTTAATAAGATAAGAATAATAATTTATACAAGCGACATAGACTAGTAGACTAGTAGATCAAACACTTGAATGTATAATTAATATCAAAGAACAATACATTGCAATTATTGCAATTGATTAATTAACCAATAAAATAACCGAAATAATAACACTTACCAACTACCAAACAAAATAACATGATGATATGTTATGAGAAGAGAACAAAACAAAAATGAAACAATTTCATTGTCGCAGGCATCACAAGCAATAATATCATAACAACATAACAAAACGAATTCTGCAAAAAACAACGCATTTTTATAAAGACAAAAAACACGTGCTTTTCGTTTGATCAAACCATGAGTCATAAAGAATGAGTCATAATTTACTCACATTCAATGTACGCACATCCTTTTCTCATCGAGAAACAACTCAGAAGAGGTTCATTCATAAAATACGCATCACTTTTGCCACTAATGCCATCTATCGATCTTTCATAAAGTTTGCTTTGTTTACATCCATGTGCTCATGTGTTTTTGACATGTTGAATCATATTGAATCAAGTATTAGATATTTGTACCATCTTTTTAAAAAAACAAAACCAGGTAAGAAAACAAACCAAACTTTTATTTTTAATTAAATGTCCCTTCATTCACCACAGTGTTACCAAGAATCATACCGCCACCAAGCTTCTGGCATCAACAAAGCATCCTATCCAAATTGGATCTTATAAACGGAATGCAATCATCGGAAAACAATCATGTAGATATCGGATTCGAAAGAATGGAAAAACTCATCGACACTATATTTGACCAGTTGTCAGAAGAAATCACATCGTTGCGTCATGAATTTCAACATCTTCAACGACAATGGTTAGTCTGTCATAAGGAGCCACTGCTGACTACATCTTTTGATGAATATCATTCAGCAACTGAAGAAATTGTGATGGAACATGAAATATCAACACCAACACGACGTTCCAAACGTCTAGAGAATTCTGCTATCCATGATGAACCTGAACCGCAAGATCGCCATTCATTCAAATGTGATCATTGCCATTATTCGTGTGCAAGAAAGAGTCATCTTGAAATACATGGCCTCATACACACTGGCGAACGACCCTTTAGATGTAAACAATGTCACTACGCAACACGGTGGAAAGGTGATATCGTTAAACACAAACGCAAACACCATCGTAGTAAGCCATATCAACGTGCTGGACAAAATGGCAAATGACCATGCATAATTGTCATGAATCACAATACTACTCCATACGTAGATAATTGTGTTGGAACTTTTATTTTTTCTATTAACATTGAATTATTCATTTTGCGTTGTCTTCAATTTCTTGATTAATTTTGATTGAATATCACTACTTTTTGTTGACCAACGAATGATTGATGACACAATTGTTCATCATCATTTCATTGATTAAATTGATTAATTTATAATCCATAATTCAGTTTTCAACTTTCAATCATATATGACCATGAGCAAGAGAGTTGACAGAAAAAAAAACGAAATCAAGCAATGAATATTCCACTTTCATTGCAGAATGGAAACAATTGAAAGGCACATGTGTAAAACTTTTAAAATTCCATTCCGCATGCATGCATATGGTTTAATGATGGAGAATCAAGAACAAGTAATCAATAATCAAGTGCAAACATGCAAACAAATGAATTGAATATGTACAACAACAAGATATCAAGATTATCAAAAGAACCGAACCAAGTGTTAGTAGTAGAGAATGGCGCGATTCTCGTCCATCAAGTCGGCTCCATTGTTGTTCAATGAAGTGAAACTCATCATGGGAGACACCTTTACCTGTTGAATGGTACTGGCCTGTGCGTTCGGCACTTCTGAACCAGCAAAGTTGGACGCTGGAGCCACACGGAAACTGGCGATAGGAATTCCCAACGATCGAGTAGGATAGCCCGACGACGAACTGCCTCGTGATGGTGATGACCGGAATGTGCCTTGATTCGTGTTGGATGGCAAGAATGAATTTGAAGACGCTCCAGTCGATTGATAAGAGCTGGCAGATCCGGTCGACGTATAGCCAGCGGACGGCGAACCAGATGGCTGGAAACTTTGCGACGAGCTTGGAGACTGGAATGTCGAACTTGAGAATGCATTGGGCGATGCTGACAACGAGCTCGATCCATCGAATCCAGACGACGAATGATGATCGGAAAAGTCGGTGTTTCCGAAATCATCTTGTGGTTGTTCGGTATAGGTTGGCGGCGAGAATGATGTATCAGGTGATGATGTATAACCACTCAACGATGGTCGCGATGTCGGCTTGAGCGGTGGTGGTTGTCGATACAGTGATTGTGGTTTATTGGCAGGTGCTCTATTGGTTGCCTGATTCAGGTAAGACTGAGTTCGAGATCGTGTTCGCGATCGTACTGGTGCTGCTGATGGTTCATCATCATCATCCTCTTCATCTAGGTTTGGGTGGCTGGGTGGTTGCCGACGGGCTTGATGCGCTTTCTGCAATGCAGCTTGAGCTTGTGCTTGGAAGATCTGGGCAACAGGATCACCACCAGAGTAGTCAAATCCATCAGGGTAGAATCGCTGATGATAGAGAACAGTGTTGTTGGGACCACGTTCGTCCAGTTCCTGGAACACAGAGAGAAAATGAATTCATGTAGATTCAATCGAAACATCTATTTACCTTGTGAAGGTATTCATTGACAATGTGGTATTTGGAAGATTGCTGACAAATGTCCTGAGTGTTGGGAACGCAGTTCAGATGAATCTGATGGAAAACGGTGTTTTCCGGACATTGCCAGCTGTGTTTGACGCCTTCGACACAATAGTGAAACACCTGACATCCGACACTAAGCGAGAAACAAATAACAAATTAGATTAGCACGAATATTCACATGGATCAATCAACACAAGCATACGTCTCATCGGCATAGTAGCCATTCTTGACGCCATCACAGCTAAACTTGGATTCGGCCAGCAACAAAGCCAGGCGATCGGGTTTCCGTTCCTCTTCTTCTTCTGCTAGTTTTTTCGCTTCTTCCTCTTCAGCCTGTAACAAATCATGACACAATTAAGTCTACATCTTTGCAAGCGACAAAAATCATTAAATTCATACGTTCGATGCAGATGACGATGATGATGAGGGCGAGTATCGAGATCTAGGATCTGTTGTCCGTGAGTATCCTGATGACGTGAATCCATGATGACCACCGTTTGGATCGGCGACCGTGGCCGAATAGGTCTGGGCTTCAGCTTTCAACGTGTGGTCATTTGCGTTACGGTTATTATTAGTGTTGAACAGTTGGATAATCTCCTGGTACTTGGACTAGAGAAACAAAGTGTGGGAGCAATAAAGAAAGAAAGAAGGAAAAAAGGAAAAAGGAAAAAACATACTCAATACAAACAAAGTATATCAATGACAATTTACACTTCCTACCTCGGGTGGTTGTTCATTGGCCAATACAATGGTGGCCACAGAACAGCAGATGAGTGTCCACAATAGTCGATTGTTGGCCATTTCCTTGTCGATCAACCGAATGAACTAAGACTATATTCAAGACTACAAGACTATCGATCAATTCGTCAATGAGATCGGCAATTGTTGACAGACAAATGGCGAATAAGGCCGTGTTTGATATCTGCTTCTCTATTTATCGACTATTCATCGTCCACCGTTTTTATGTTGTCAGAGAAACAGGTTCCAAATGTACACATTTGGAAATGGAAACTCATAGACTCTCTCTTGTCGTTGTTGTTGTGAGTGCCAATCACCATCAAATTCAAATCGCTCTCACTTTCGTGTGCAACGTGTCCTCTTCAATAATCGGGGTTGTAAGACATTTGACACATTGGCCATGTTTGGAATGAGTGGTGGTGGTGGTGGTGGTGTACCACCGCTGGTTCCTGTTTTCCGATTCAATGATCGGTCGTCGCCTTCGTCGGCTAATGTTAGTCAAATGTTAACCCAGTTAACAATCATATTGTGGTTATTACCACCATTCAACCACCAGACTGACACGATGACACGGCGAACAAATTACTACTGACATACAAGACATATTAGCTGCCAACCACTCAACTTTATAAGCTTTCATGATTGCCACTCGAATGGTTGAGTTGCGATTTGACAAGTCAACTTGGATCAACAACTAGCAAGTTGAGTTGTCATGACTTTTTCCATTTCAATATTTCAATAATGACCAGATTGATGATTGATTCTGGTCATTTTATATGACTCACTCGATAGATGGTAGATGAATAGATGAATAGATAGACATGCATGCAAGGCTGACCATTCAAAATGATAATCGTTTTCATCACGCACAAACAGGCACGATTCACACACACACGCAGATGTGTCAGCTCATCAGATCAGATAATCAGATTGTTGTTGTTGTTGTTGTGTGTCTTTGGCGTGAACCACTTAAATTTTTAGTGGATGGCTCCAAGCCATTTATTACGATTGGTGTGCATTTTTCACGAAGCAGATGGTCAGGAAACGATTCATCAAGCATATGCTAATCACCACTGATAAGTGGATGCTAATTTTGCTCACAACTATGCAATCAACATCTGATACGTGTTACGTGATAGATCGCTCAGTCGAACAATACAATCCGGAAGCTGCATTCTGGCAGGTGGTTATTCATCACCAATAAATGACCAATTGGAATTTCGCAGATGAACGTGACCAATAACAAGCAAGCACGAAACAAAACAAAAACAAAACAATCGTCTATTTTGAGAACTGCTTTCTTTTTATTTTTTCCCCACACTAATCCATATCACACAATCGAATGATTGAATGATTGATTGATGGTTTTTGTCCGAAACTGGCCAATCGGATAATTGGTATACAACAACTCAACAATTTCGTTGCACTGGATACTGGATCTCTGTTCAGAAACGAGCCAATCAATTCGACAACATGGTCTATCCATTTCCAATCTTGTTCCTGACTTTTATTGCCTGTGAAAAGTGATCGGTAATTGTCTCGGGATCACAGTCAAACTCTTCCGACAAGCGAGTCATGAGTCGAACAATCACACACGACGCGTATAACCACAAATCCAATATGGAATCACTTTCAAATCTATCTATATATCTTATATTATTATCAATTATTATCAATCATCAATCAAGTTTAATTCCACTAATAGGTTAGCAGTAAACAACTTATCACTGAGTAAAGTTGGCTGACTAATGGGTATTGAGATTAGTTGAAATTTTTATTTTCAAAACTTTTATATTATAACTCAAGCATAATCGATCGAATCAACCAAATCGATTGACAGACACAACAGGAATGTCACTTGATATGTACAAGGGAATTCTCAATAAATAGTCCACAGTTGGGCATTCATTCACTTGATTCGCCGTCTGTGGTTACTGCTGCTCGATTCGATCAATTTCGATTCCGATTCGTAGTCGCGATTCAATGTCGTACTGGCTTCCGTCATGTTGGGTGCGGTAAACCGACCGACCATCATTGACGCCGACACAGTCGAGGTAAAACGATCATCTGGCGGTGACTTGCCACGATGTTCGTTTGTCTTTTTTGCGACAATACTCAACGTTGTGCCATTGACAATCGCCATATCTCGATTGCTCGGTCGATGACCTGATGATTCGTGATTCTTGTTTCTCTGCTGTTGTCGACTATCGGTCAAAGCCTGGTGATCATCAAACAGCTCATCGGGGACGTAGACGTTTGCGTTAGTCGATATAGTCGCATGATTCTTGCGATTTATCGTCTTGGGTCGTGACTGTGATGATGTCGTGATGTTTGCGGATCTCAGCGATTTGCCCGTCTTGAACAGCTGTTTTGTTGTTGGATATGTGGTGGGATGAGCTTGTTCTTTGCCGGTCACTTTCGTGTAGTATGACGAAGGCAAGTATGCCGCATTGCCATTTTCAAAGACGGGATGGTTCGATGATTCGGCAGCTTTGAGCAGTTGCTGTTGTATGAATGTGTACGATTCTGGAGTCCACCATGGCCCATACACAGACAGTGGCAAAAATGCATTGTTGTTGGCCAATGCTGCAGCCATCATCATTAACGAAGCGTCATTTGATTTGCTGGCCGGTGTTTTATCAGTCGATTCTGGCTTTTGTTTGGCCATCATCGATTTGGTCAGTTTATTTCGAAGAAGCGGTGGAATCAGGCTGGTGAGCAAACTGGAACGCAATGTCAATTTGGGTAACAGTTTCTTGTGGCCACTTCCGGCTGCTTTATTGTTGTTCTCGTCCTTTCCGCTAGCACCGGGCACTGAAGAACGCTTTTTCAGTCGATGTTGATTGAATCGCAGGACGTAGGCAGGCACTAGTTTGCCTCGATCTTTTAGCGGAATCACTATTGGTTTCAGCAGACTTGTGGCCATATTTTGACGGTAATCTTCACGAGTCAGGTTGATCGGTATCAACACCGGAATGGACAAGGTGGATAGTCCAGCCAGTTTGTTTTCGTCGTCGTTATCATCGTCGTTTTCAGTGGCCATTGATTTCTGCTCTTCGAATCGTTGCTGTAACCGAGTCGAAGGTTTGTTCCAAACCGGCACAATGTTGCTGTCTTGGCCAATCATTGGTGGTTTGTTGTTCAAGTTGTTTTCAGTGCGAAGTAGTGATGATTGCAAATGTCGCCAGAATCGAGGCACCATGCGAATAAAGTGAGATGGCAGTTGGACATTGTCTCGTAGAAATCGCTGTATCGAAACAGATAGACTTTGACGAGCATCGCTCGATGAATGATTGATGTGTTCATGATCCTCTTGTGGTGAAGACTGTATCGACGGTTGTCTGGTCATGTCTGATTCTGGCTGTGGCCACATGTATGGCTGAAAATCAGAAGACGACATGTCGAATTGATTGAACAATGAATGCACATCATCCTCATTCGTCATAATGTCAATGTTTTTGATGCCTGAATCGATGGACAATTTTGGAACCTCAGGTTTGGGAACAAACTTTGCAGTCAAATTGGCAAGTGGAGGCTTGACCAAAGGTTTGCTATTGTTATTGTTTGTAAGGTTAGACTTGATAATTGGATTGATTCTGAATGGCAATTCAGTAGTCGTTGTAGTTGTCGTTGTTGTTGACGTTGAGATGTTGTTGGAAGCAGTAGTTGTTGTTATCGGGGATTCGACGTAATTGGTGGGTGGCACCAAAGTCGTGGAACTGAAAAGGCTGACTAAAGTGTCACCAGTATGATTACGACATTCACGCTGAAGATCAACCATTCGTTCGCAAGCAATCGATTCCTGATTGAAATAACTATCGGCTGGGCAGGCAAATGTGAAGCGATTGCCGTCGGCCTGAATAAAAATTGAATAAATTTCATTCAATCAATCAAAGACATGACACCAACCTTGCAGTAATGGAACATGTCACAGTAGCGATCATCGCCATAGTATCCTTCGGTCTTGTTGAGACAATCGAACCCGACTTGACCATCGTCGTCGGAAGCATCCACCACCTGTTATCAACACAACAGATTTATTAATATAAAGACGACGTAAAATTAGAAGAGAGAGAGAGAGAGCAGTCATTCACGGATCGATGAACGAGTGTAGTGAGCCGCGAAATAGGTCACAGTGTGACGATCACTGTTTCATCACTACACAGTAGTACTTGATTAGCGAGCACTAAATTAGCTAATTAATCGATAGAGAGCAATCAAGCCGAACACGACCCCGTAACAAGATCACTGTTGTCATCACCATCATCAACCCATCAGCATAGAGATGTAGGCCATCACAGCTCAATATGGATCAAGATCAATCGATAGTCTGCTTCAACTTACTTTGTGCTGTTGGATCGAAATGTTTGATGCTGGTGGCAATTGGTGGTGGTGGTTGTGGTGGTTTTCCACTGTGACCACCGATTCATCGGCCATCTGATCGATGGGATCGTATATCTCATAACAGTGGATCGAATTGAAGGAACCTGCAAAACAAAAAAACAATACAAAACAATCAATCAATCGACCAACTCTGGTAATATGGTAACAGTTACCTGCTTGCAACAGCAGCATGGCTACGATCGATATCGCCGTCCGTAGACAATTGAGACATTGAGAATCAGTGGCCATCATTACGAGTATGAGGAATTTAAAAACAATGATCATGATGAGATTAAAAAACACTGGACACAGAACAAATCACAAAACGCATCGTATGATTCGAATTTCTCCAATTCACCAAGTGATGACAGAATCGAGCCACTGATGGCCTATTTGGCTTGTCGCCGTCCAAATCGAGAATGACTGAATGAAACCAAATTGTCAACTGCAACCAAGTCTCTCACTCTTGGCAGCAGAATGAACAAGAAAAATCTCTCTGGTCGATGGTTGGCCAAGCGTATCAAACAATAACTTGACGAATCGAATAATAATACCGTACGACGACGAATGACGAACCATGAAATTGGCCACCACAGCTCCACTTGATGATTGCACACATTCTCTCATCATCTGGAGCAAGAGAGTGTTGTTTATCCAAGCCAATTGTTTCCACACTCCAGAAGATATGGATCCATTACGGTTGTTTGTTTGCTGCTGCTGCTGTGATCTGTTTTTGGAAACGATCCAATTATAGCGTCCGACCGGCCAATCTGCCAATGGGTCACTTTTGCTGATCATCATCATGGCACTAATGTCATTGCACTAGTCAACACCAAAAAAAAAAAAAAAAAAAAATCCCATCATCATCAATCATTGTGCAAATTGTTTTTGCACTGGTTAATCGTTGGCCACTTTGATGAAAAAATGAATTCACCCCCTCGTGCTATATCCACAGTGACAGTGTTTATGTTTGCATGATCAGCTGAGCAATTTAACAAAGCCAATCATAATATGCTGCTACAGTCGAGTTGTTGCTGGAACGCTGCTCGCTTATTTACCACCATTTTTAGCCGAAAGTTGACCAACCAGGTGATCAACATCAACGCCCACCATGTACGAGAACGACAAGTCCGTGTGTGCAAACGTTTCGGCAAAAACAGCTGGTTGTTGAGACCTTGGTTCCTGCGATACATTCCCCACGACGGTTATCCTGTTAACATTCGCTACGTGGACACAAGTCCCGACGACGACAACAGTCGACCCGTCATCCTGTTGTTGCACGGAACTCCAGGCAGCTACTATGACTACTTCCGTTTCATTGCCGATTTCGGTGATCGATACCGTTGCATAGCGCCAAACTTTCCCGACTTTACACACACGATTCGAACCGGTGGTTGTTTTTGGCATTCAGCCGAAGAGAAATCCGAATTCATTGCAGACTTGCTTGCCGATCTCAACATCAAAAGAGTCCATTGTTTGGTGGCCCATTCGTTGTCAGCGTATGCGGCTTCTTACCTGTGGCTATACTCGAACCAACAGCCATACTTTGATCTTGACTCGTTATGTCTCATCAGTCCGGTTGGACGTTTCAGTTTTCGGTGGCGACAACGTGTTCGAATGCGTCTACTAAGTCAAGCATGTCGATTGTTGTATTTGCGGAAAATGATGATGCCCAGTAGTAGTAGTACTACGTGGCTACTACAAGGTCATCATATTCCACGGACAAGCATACTGGGAAATAGACATTTGGCCATGTGGAAGGCGTTGACCGAAAATCTGTCCAATTACGACAGCTACCATTTACGATTGAGAGTGTTGTCCGGAAACCTGCAAATACCGACCCTATTTATATATAGCTCGAATGACAAGCTTTATCCTGCCATAGTCTACCATAATCAGCTATATGAACTACAAGTGGAAGGCGATGAATTTGATAGATACGAACACTACGAAAATCGTTTGGTGCAAACAGCGGCCATCGACCGATCGGACAGTTGGATACGCGTGGTCGACTTTAGTGGTGGTGGACATTATCTCCACAACACACACACACATCTTATCCACTCGTACATTGACGAATTGCTCAATCGCGTGAACATTGCACATTGAACATTGTTTTATCATTTGTCCGATTGATATTGATAAGCATTTTATTATCCAAACTAAATCATTAATATGTGTGTGTGTGTGTGTGTGTGTGTGTGTGTGTGTGTGTGCTAAATAAAGCATCAAATCAAATAAATGATGATGATTGACATGTGCTGCAATGATCAGTGGTGAATGTTGAATGGTCCCTTTGTCGGAAAATTGAATGATCATGATGATTAAACCGACAATTGATAGATTGACTCAGCGATTTGACGACGAATACTTTTGCTTGCCATACTCGTTCATGACGCAAAGATGCTGTTCACAGAAGAAAAAGAGATACAGTCAATCAATCAATCAATCAATTATGCTAAGCAGGATAATTACATTCAAATCACGGAAGTACTCGTTATAGTCCATGTTGCAGCCGACAATGAATTTGTTCGGTATGCTGAATCCAGTATCTGTTGTTGTTGTTGTTGGAATTGAGAATTACCATTAGCCAATCAATTACTACTACTACTACTCACATTTCGGCATGTATCCGTTGCTCAGAGGCGTTCGTTTCACCAGCAAACTGGTCACACGAATTGTCCGTGGTTCGTACTGTTCAAGTAGATCCAACAATTTGACCATAGTACGGCCAGTGTCGATTATGTCCTCGACAATCAACACGTTCTGTGGTCATCATTAAATTATTCGGTTAGAATATAATTAATAATTCAATAAACAGTGTAAACTTACCCGACCACGAAGCGTTTCCAAACTCTCGATACCAATCACCTGAATCTGGTTAGTGGAGCTTGTGTTTTCGTAAGATTTGAGTCGTATAAATTCCACTTTGATCTGTTGTGCTTCATCCTGCAGTTCTGGATTGTCCAGCAATCGATATCGATGCAATTGTCGGATTTTTTCCAGCAGATTGTTGAAAAAGAGATATCCTCCTTTGAGAACGCACAACGCTGTAAATGGTTCATTGCCCAAATCGGCCGCTATATCACATGCTAACCGTTCAACTCGATCCTGAATGAATCCACCTGGAATTAAAACCGATTGCAAATACTTGGATAGATTGGGAGTGATTCGGAACGATTCCAACGGGTAACCTTCAAAATCATCGGGAATCTGTAAAAAACCATCAAATCAATACGTTAGCAAATCAGACATGGATAGTGCATACACAATACCACTCACCACGATGGGTGGACTACTTTTCGACTTTTGTATCGAATTGCCGTTCTGCATTGTCAATATTTCAGTGATTACACACACACACGGTTAGCATTGAAATGTCGTAAAGTGATCGCAATGGCAATGCTTTTATGGACGAATGATGGGTTGAAATGAATTGTAAATCGATCCACCACCATATATCAATAATCATGTCAAACCAGTAGTTGGTCATAAAACGCGATAAAATGCTGATCGTGGTTATAATGACTATGTGACTAATGTAACTGATTGATTGTTGTAGTGATACGATTATCATCATCATCATCATCACACACACACACACACACACATACAACCTGCTGTGGAATGCCGTTTGTTGTTAACCAAACAAAACACAGTGACCATGGACGGTCGACCATCACTTTCGTTCGTTGTGAAACACTGCCTTGTCATTTCAAACAACCAACATCAACCACTGAAATCACCTGAGGCTTTTCAAACAAAACATTTCATTCTCCATCAATAGAGGATTCATCATCTACAGATCTTTTAGGCAAAGTAAAACATTGGTCTGAAGCTTAAGCTTACAATTGAAATCCATGTATCGATACTATCGATTGTCAATATCATGTGGTTATGTGCACACCATAATCAACAAAACAAGTCCGGCCTGAAGAAAAATGTTTCGCCGATTGTCAATCAATCTCGTTCCAACAAGGTAATTGTTGCTGCTTTATTATTGTGATACATTACTAAACTAAATTACTAGGACGGCACCACCATCGGTTAACCTGCACACGACCGGATCAATGCAATGGGTGCAAAAACAAACTCGATTGCGTGTAGTGGACAACTCAAAATTGGGTCGTGAAGCCATGACTGAGGGCAAACAAGTCAAATGCATCCACGTCTACAAAAAGAATGCCAAAGTTCATGACGGCCAATTGGGCGACAAGGTGCTGGTCACAATCAAAGGCCAGATGAAACGCGGTTATGTCGTCGGACTGGTGGCAGAACAACGACCAATGATTGCCAAGTTTGACACAAACAATGTCGTGCTGATCGAAAACAATGGCAATCCATCGGGCACACGAGTGGTTGTTCCGGTTCCCAACTATCTGCGAAGCAAAGGAGCCGAATTGGCCAAGATTGTGGCCATTTCTAGTCGTTTTGTGTGATGTTTTGAATGTATTCTTTTCTATTCTATGATGATGATGATCATAATAAATCAGTTGCATTTATTTATCCATTTATCCATTCATTAAATTAAAACATGTATAAAACACGTAGAAAATTAGTGTATACACTTGGTTGCTATTCTCATTGATTGATTTGTAGCGGATTTTCTCTCAACGAATCCTTTATACAAAATTGGATACAGTAACACTATAGTCTATACTCGTACATGTGTTAACGCACAACGCAAACCGATGAGTCACACACGTTGTTCTTGAAATGAAGAAAAGTCTGGAAAGAAGAGAAGAAAAGTCTAGAAAGACAGAGCATTGCATCATGTACACTTACCGTATTCGACGACATTTCATCCCATTTTTATGTCCAGAATTCCACCATAGTGATACAAGCTCGAACGTACTTTGTGAACGCTGCCGCTTTCATTGTGACAAAGACGTGATTATCGGGGTAGTACTCTGTGTTCATCATCACTTGTTTTAATAAATACGTATCACCAACGACACTGGCACTTTATTTCTGCCTGAGCTACTGACAAGTCCAAATTCGTCATTTTAAACAAAGTTTTATATATTGAATTGAATTGTGTAATTTGTTAATTTGGATACAATGTTTTTCTTCTAAATCACCTCGTTTATCTATTGCCGATAGTCCAGAATATCTGGGTGACAATTTGCAAAATCTAAACAATATTCCAAAATGTACTGATTGATTGACTTTGAAATTCGAATCGATTGATAATTTTACTAACCATTTTTTTATATTGACCAATACACAGGGAACTCACTACGCTTATTTCGTTGTTTATCTATCGCCATAAAATTGATATCAAGAATAACCATGAAACCTATGACTGGATTATCATCATGTTGGCCCATTTCGGCCACATTGTCCGTTGACCATAACCAAGTGTTTGGCTATTGTTCAGAACCACCATCATTTGATTTGGATTGCTGTCTCAGTAGTGATGATGGTGATCATAAACACACTGATAATGATGATAGCACCTATCTTGATTTTGACCTGATCAACTACACGGACAGTCAATTGGAACAGGTCATCTTTGACCCAATTAACAACAATGAGGATCTTTGCCATGGATTCGGCAACCTTTCGTTCGTTGGCCTGTTGAAACAAGAAGATTTCGATTTCATCAACATCAAACCAAGCCAAGACCTCTGCTCACCAGATATCGGTCCATATTCGCCCAGCATATTTGCCACCACAACACTTGATAAGGACGAATGTCCACAATCTCCATTGATCACAAGCCAATGGCCAGAAGATGACGAATGTCATGGACAATTGGATTCGGAATCATTTCCACATTCATTGGATGTGGCCAACTATGAAGAAGTTTGCACAGATTCTCCTTTCTACTCGTCATTCACCGACATGGCAGCAGTTGAATCAGAACAGTTATTGCAGCAGCAGCAGCAACAACAGGATCATCATCATGATGATGGGGACGACCAAAGCCTTGCATCGTTTGTGACCATTACGACCAATTCATCGCCAAACAAACGAAAATCGGTGGACAAAGATGAATCTAAAAGCCAAGTGCGAAAGAAACGTCGTGCTTGTCGTCGTGTATTGGACGACCGAATCAAACATCAAAACAAAGTGGCCGCTATGCGATACAGGCTAAAGAAACGGGAAGAGAAAACACTCATGGATGACCTGTTGGCCATCGAACAGCAACGTCACAAGCAATTGTCGGACCAAGAGGAAGAGTTGAACGTCCAAATCAAAGTGCTAAAAGAGCTGCTGGCCAAATATCTATCGCCTAGATTGCTTGACAGTCAAATGCATCTAACCTAAACATTGATTATAATCTTCATTTCATTATCATTGATATTTTTGCAGTAATAAAGTAAATTTATAAATTTATTCTCCATGTTTTGTTTCTCTGTGTGTGTGTGTGTGTGTGTGTATGTCCGATGTCCAATGTGTGAAGAGCATCATCATGTAATGTGTATATGTCCCCACTGGTCAATCAGTGATTCAATCTGATGAGTGATAATGTACAAGTCAATTGTTATAGGTGTGTTTATACGGTCTCGATGGATGTGAGTGTGTCTGCAAAAAAAAAAAAAAACATGGCCCAACTCTGGTCAGCAAAATTAAATCATCGATGAATGAATATTATGAATGATTGAATGAATAAATGAGAGATGAATTTGGATGACACATGATGACATAAGATGAGAGAATGCAAGTGAATCTGTTTACCGATCAAGCATCGGCCGCGGAAGCCAATGCTCCAATTTCATCGACATCTTGATCATCGTCTTCTTCTTCCTCTTCACTGAGGTCTTTCGTCTTCTTGTTGGCTACACACAGACAAAAATAAAGTGAGTCAAAGAAATCATATGGTCATTCATTCATTAACCTTTTTTGGCTGCTGCCCGTTTGGGCGGTCTTCCTGGAGGACGTTTGTTTGTGGCTTTGCGTTTGTTAACGGGACGACCATCATCATCTTCATCCTCTTCATCGTCAACAAAATCATCGTCCGCTTTACGATTCGAACGCGCTTTAGATTTCCGTTTAGACGTCGGGTGACGGTCGTCCAGATCCAAATCGTCCTCAATATCATCGTCAATATTGTCTTCTTCTTCGGATTCACTTCGTGCTGCTCGACGAGTCGATTTCCTCGTTGGAGTTTGTCGGCCGCGTTTCGATCCAGCTCGACTGGCTGACGATTTTTTTGGTGTCGATTTCTGCAGCAAAATCATCAATCACATCATTAGTTTGCTCACTGATGAGAGTGTGAAAGACTCACCTTTTTCTTTTTGCCCCAATCGCTGTCTGAATCGGAATCAACGTCCGATTCTACATATTTACTACGTGATCGACCACCACCACCACCACTACCACGACCTCGACCACCTGACTTTCGTTCCATTTCCCAGTCGCTGTCGGACCCACTGCTTGAAACAGCGGCAGCTCCACGTTTGCGACCTCGACTTGGTTTATAGTCTTCTTCACTCTCACTTTGTTGCCATAGTTCGTCATCACTGGCCACAAAATCATCCAACGACACGACATTTGACTTGGCCTGTTTCTGTGCTCGTCGAGGACGTCCGCGATAAGAACCGGCAGCCGTCGACGCTTTGGCATTCTTGGCCGATTTACGTTTCGACGAAACGACTTCTTCCTCCTCTTCTTCCTCATCGTCATCATCACCATTATCGTCGTCGCTTTCCATGTCTTCGTCGTCGTCGTCATCAGCATCAACATCATCATCATCATCGTCTTGTTCGTAGTCGCTTTCGTCTTTAGATTTGGACTGAGTGGCAGCAGTAGCAGTAGCAGCAGCAGCTGATTTACGACCTCGTTTCTTGGCTTGTTGTCCTCCTGACTGCGGCTTGTCCTTGTTGTTGTCTGTATCCTTGGTATTTTCGTCATCATCATCAGTGGCGCGTTTGCTAGCAGGAGCATCAGTCGCCTTTTTCTGTTGTTGTTGTTGTTGGGTTGTGGAATTCGAGCCATTCACATTATCGTTGGCGGTGGTCGTTGTCGTGCTTGGACTATCGTTGTTATTGGTGACCTTTTTGGCCGCATCGGCAGAATCATTTTGTTGTTGTGGATTATCGTTGGTGGTGGTGCTGGAGACCAAATCTTCGATGAATACCTGGTATTTGTATTGTTGTGCTTGAAAGCCAAACACGTCACCGTGATTCAGATTCAACGTGTTGTCTTTTTTGATCAATTTGGGAGTCGATTGTGGATCTTTGCCAAAATAGAATGTTGGATTCACATGCAGCTATCAAACAACAACAACAACAACAAAACAAAACACAAATCGTTATACAATAAAAAATCAATTGAAACCCACTCACCGAAGTTAGAATCACTTCGCCACTGTTGCTCACTTCGATGGCTGCATGAGTCCTCGACACTTTTTTGTCGGCACACTGTCGATTCATCAAATTTAATGCTTGTCAAACAATGACTTGGTCATACTTACATCCAATAGTTGACCGCGTCCCAACGTAGTTGATCCAACGGGAAGATCCACCTCTTTGCAGGTGTCATTGCTTAGCGTTTTCAAATAGATTCGCATTGTGTTTGTATGACTTCTGCTGCTGGATTGGAATATCAATCGTCAATCCAAGATTAAAGTCGGGTTGATGACAAGCAAACAAGACACACACTTGTCAAGCCGGTTGGTACAATATTCCCGTGATGATAACGGACGGTCTTTCTTTTGGACAGGATATCGCGATATTGTCAAAAGTCAACTCAATTCTGTTGTCGTTATTATTGAATTTGACCACAATTCATCAACGACACACACACACACAGAGAGAAAAAGATTCTTGCTACTGCTGTTGTCTTTCTGTCTGCCTTTGTGTCTGTCCAGCAGCGAAAAATGAAACGAGTTGGCCATCAATGTGAGCAAGCCATAATGCTGTGTGTGTGATGTATGTGCTCACCGCTGCTGTTGTGGTTGTGGCCACCACCACCACCACCACTCTCACAGATACATTCGTTTTCGTTTTTGACCACTTGGGGCGGTATTGCTGCCGAAACATGTATCAAATCGGCAAATCACGACAATCATGGCTGCTCCTACTTTAGCGGCTGGATTGGCCACCACCAGATGGCGACCACTTTTCAAATTTGAAATTGGCCAACTATATACCGGCAAAACGATTCAATTTGCTACGCCGATGATGATCGGCGCCAAGACGATGATCCAATCCAACGCAACGGCCAGATAGTCGATAGACGTCGGTTGAAAGCAGTCATAGCATTGTGAACGACCAAGCCAACTTGATTATAGAGTCTGCAGTTTTCATTAATTTGCGATTTCGTTGTCGATAATTTTGGTTCCACATTCATAGAATTGGCGACAAAACAGTGTCCACTGTGCTAGCTCATCGACAAAGTGAACATCGGATACGATGAGCCATTCTCGAATCGATTACGACCACAACAGCATTGTCGCTCTATCCATCGACCATCAATGGCAATCAGGTAAGTGAAATGAGGTCAACTGTTGCACCTGAAGAGTGGAATGCGTTGATTGATTAATTGATTAATTGATTAACTAATCGATAAATCGTTGCTTGTTGTTAATTTTTAAGAAAGTGTGGTGATTATTATTTCTTAATCTCGACCTAAATGACAATTGCCGTTCGCCATTATGCATGATGAATAATTGTTTGGCCATTAGGGACATTTTACTACTGCAACCAATGAGCATGAGTTGTCGGTAATAGCCATCTCTATTTATAGACCATCATTCTGTTTGGCTGTTCATATTTATCTGCCATTATGGGCATTTTTTGTTTAAATTTTTCAAAAATGATTCGAAAACAATGCGGCCAACCCGCCATTATTCTGATTCTCATTAATGGGAACCCAAATAGAAACGGCACCTGATACCAGAATTCTCCATTCTCCATTCTCCATTGTTTGTTTGTTCAGTCGGCATTTTATGAATGGTTGTGGGAAGCATTGCAATGCATCCCATTGTCATTCAGATTCCGATTCTGAATAGGGTGTGTTTGGTTGTTATTAAGACTTTATCGACCATTACCTAGCTATTAAATTGACAAATTAATCAAGTCCATGTGAATGAAATTGCTATTTTTGGGCCCATTGAACCACCAAACAAACAAAAAAACAAACAAGAAAACAAACAAACAAACAATGTCATAACCAACACAACATGAACAACATGAACAACAGGAACAAGCCAGGCGTGTGCATAAAACGGGATCGATTGCCAATTACTTTGGACGTCAGTCGTGTTCATCATGTTTATTCACTGATAATGATAATCCGTTCGGAACAAATAATGTTAATGTTCCGTTTTTTCAAGAGTACAGTACGTGTTCTATTCATTAATTCTCTCATTCAATTTGCTGTCCATTGTGTAATTATGCTCAGATTCATTCACAGACTCGAACCATAATCGATAAATTTTTGTTTAATCGAGTCCTCCTTATCCCTTGAACAAACAAACAAACAAACACACACACATACACCTCTCATGTTTGTTCGCTAGTTCTCATTGTTTCATTTTCTTGTTTGCTGTGTGTGGCCGGCTGCCTTAGCCATTCAGTTGGAGTTAATTAATTTGTCCAATGTTTTTCCGCTTGTCTCAGCAACAATAACAATTAAAATGACTCACTACGCCAATGTCAGAATGTCAGAATGTGTCAACATTTCTCCTCCTCTTTATTCACATGAATGATTAATCTGTTTGTCATTCATTCACACACACACACACACACACATGGATCCGATTCGAAATGAAATGAAAATGGACGCTTCACTGCCTTGCATTTCTGATTCAAACTCATTATTACAGCCATAGCTGTCGACAAAGGCATCAGTCTGTACTTGCCATCATAATTAATTTGCCGCATCATCAGACAAGTGAATATTTGCTCATTAGTATGCATTCGATTGCCAATCCAGTCTTGTCAGCATGACCACAAGGCAATTAGCACACTACACTCACCCCTGACATTCGACAATCAGTCAAATCAGTTTGTGTGTGTGTGTGTGTGCGAACATGCCAACTCAGCACATTACCTATGCAAATGCCGAGTGTTGAGTGAATTAGCAGTGATTAGTGAATTAATTGCTACCACTGACAACCATTATTGGTCCGACTACATTATTCCATTAGCAGCAACAGCACCATCTTTGCTCCAATCGCGTATCCGGACTGAACTAGATTTCTAGATTTCTCACTCTCGAGATGTTTCAATTTGGCTTTACACTAATACCTTTGTATCATCAGAAACACACACACTGCACTTACAACACACCAGCATACAGACAAAGTCAGAATGACATAGATCCGGTTCGACATCGATCTAACTGCAGCAGCAAAATACGCCCCTAAGATGACCGAGTCAGCACTCATTGATCGAATCCTGTGCCAATGACGTAATTTCCAGAATAAGCTAGATTTGAGTTTAACGCCATTAAACTTTTCATTCTAACCATACTTCATTACCTGCTTCATTATGGCCGCATTAGTTTCACAAACCAAACACACACATACACGGAGAGAGAGAGATAGAGATGAAAAGATAAACGGCCCAACATTTAGCTCGATTGTGTGAATGCAGGCAAGTACCCGTGGCCCCATTGATGAGAACGGAATCAGAGTTGATGCATTCATTCATAGTGTGATCATTGTTCTAAGGTAGTGTTGCATGTTTCAGCACCAGCAGTAATGCATGAGTGAATCAATTGTTTCCGGATGTAGTTAGGCATCATGTCAGTCCATCAAATCAGTGTATCAAACTTTTTCCTTTATGCTTCGTTGAACGGATAACGTGCAAGTGTGGAACCATTTCCATTGTTCGACAACATTTCCACACGCATCTCTAACTCCCTATCTATTTCTTGTTTGCTTTTCTAGCCGAATCCAGCACTAAAACGCGATCGAATCAATCGACAAACAACAAGAGAATGGATCACCAGCACCGGTCAGCGTGGTTCGAATATTCTCTATGGTCAAGTAGTCATCATCAATGCTGGTCAAGTTTGGTGATAATAGTCACGTTTGTGCTAATCTCCCATTGCTGTTCGGGTTCTGTTTGGGAACAAAAAGGCTGTCACATTGTAGGTAAGTTATCATTCTCATCACTCCAACATCCCAACACCAATGTTTCGATTCTGGTTTCTTTACCATGGCAAGGTCACACCCAAAAGATTGATATACCTGGTTGCATCAATTTTGAATTGACATCAAACGCCTGTCGTGGATACTGCGTATCGTATGCGATACCATCGAATCAAGAAACGCTGCTGGTCAACGGAAAGCAGATGATCACTTCTGTGGGCAACTGTTGTGCGATGACCGAGACCGAAGTGGTAAGTGTTAAAAATTGAAACAAAACACCCCACCCACTCACTCACACACACATACAGTTGCCACATTAGCCAATTAGTGTCAATGAGACTGAGAGCCAGAGTGAGTCCCATGATGGCGAACCACAAAGCAATACCCTAGTGATTCGTTTGATATTCCCGAGAGCGGACGAGCGTGACAACCCATGTTTCCATTCGCCTGATTGGTTTGGGGTTGTTTGTTTAATCAGATGATGATGTTAATGTTAGCATTAGCAAAAGTGGCCGGCAATTATTCACGAATTCATAGAATGCATCGAATGTCGCCGGAACGAATGACAAATGATTGTGGTTTGGTCACTGAGTTTCGGCGAAAAGTTTTGCACATCCGATTGGGACAATGAAATTCAAATTTCTCTTTTCTGACAAAGAATGACCAACATGGAGCTCGTTAGTCATGTTGGTTGGATGTCTAATACATACATACACACACATACATTATAATTAAGCGACGACAGACTGCGATTTATGGCAGGCAACATCCAGGTAGCTAGCTCCAGCATGCACACAACACACAGCACACATCATAATTCATCATGATCATTGCAAAGGTCGAATCAATAATTGATCATGCCTTTATGGGCATCGCTAGCGAGTGATTAATGAAATATTCATCAGATTGCCATCTAATCACATTCTGTCCATATGTTTCTTGTTTTTTCTCCAGATGAGCGTGCGAGTAATGTGTCGCAACGGACCCAAAGACATCAAATTCAAATCGGCCACCAAATGTGGATGTTTCCATTGTAAAAAGTATTAACTTGCTTGCTGGAGCCAGCAGCATCTGCATTGGATAATCATCTCCACACGATTCTCATCATCGTCATCATCATTGGCCACCGTCATTAGCAATTCAATTAGAATCAAGTGGCCATCATCATCGATGTCATGATGAATGAATAAATAAATCATCACTTTACTTCCGAACCTGCATGGCGGCCAATCTGTCATTAATAAACAGGTTGGCTGCCCATTTCATTAATTTCATAGATTTCATAGTTATCTTTATTCCAATTGTTTGTCTCTTCCCATCTATATTCTGTTTTGTGTGTCACTCTGTACAGAATCCTCTTCTTCTAACCTTAAATCAATGAATGTCCATTCCAATAGACAATGATATATTGCCAAATCACTAGCATCCATATTCTGATTGATGATGATGATGACGATGACAATAATAACAATAAAATAAAATCCATTACAAACAAACAAACAATCTGATCTTTCTCATTCACATTCATTCATTCATTCATTCATTCATTCATTCATTCATTCATTCATTCATTCATTCATTCATTCATTCATCGGTCAAAGAGCGTGCATGTCTTCCATCGGCACCACATTATAGTGCGGAGACAAACAATTTGAATAATTCATTCGATATGGCTCATACAATAAAAATCATCATCATCATAATCATCATAATTCTGCTACGTGAATGATTAAAGTTTCCATGAATGAACAGAGAGAGAGAGAGAGAGAGAGAGAGAGAGAGAGAGGAATTATGGATTGCTACGATAGTATATCGAGCTGGCCCATCCATAATGGATGAACAATTGAGAAAATTGCCGTAGTCGTGTAGCGAATTGCCCAATGAATAGTTGACTCGGAGCAAATGTAATTAAGCAATTACAACCAATACGACAGTGAAATGGGATTCTTTGGAACAAATCTAGTTCAGTCATTCATATTTTCCAACCGTTGCTCATTAATCCTGGTCTCGTAGTCGAGTGGTGGACGGATTACAGATTCAAAAAGTAAAGTAATCCAAGTTTGGTGGTCGCATCTGGATCAATTGTGTGCACAACCACACACACACACTGGTGGTCAGCCAACAACAACAACGACACAACAATGCCAGTTCCGAGTAATTATTGTCATTCCATTCAAAAGTTTCGATCCCATTTGAATTGCAAATTGGCCATGTCAATACTTGGATACATCGCGACTCAAGTGGCAACGTCTTTTCCGGCACTCAGCATACACTTTTCATTTAGCCAAATATCCAGTTTGATCGTCATCATTATTATTGAATAAATGGCAAACTCTTATTCGAGAATCTTGATGATTGTCTTTTCCATCACTCTCTTTGTGCAAGTACATGAGCTGTGTCCCCATCCATATTAATCAGATTATAATACACACACAAGGAGCGAGAAAATCCTGAATCCTGTGGCACCTTTGGCCGCCGATCCTAATTTGTGATTGCGTGTCTGTTGTCAGAATCAGGCATCCATCGGATAATTAGCACTAATTCCAATATAATGATCAATCATATGTTCGTATGTTGGTGTCTGGCGATCAAAACAATTTAAATTTTAATGCCACAAATCATTTCCAATCAATTCTTATTCATTCGTGTATGGAAACCACTTGGGACAGATAGATAATAATGATGATGATGATGATGATGAACAACTCATCCACTACAACCATCGAATCAAATTAAAACAAAGAATTGAATTGAAAGATGGATTGTTTGAACTAAAAATTTATTGGAAATTTATGTGTGAGGAGGAGGGAGGGAATAGGGGGAAACAGTGCAACAAAGCAACAAAACGACAAAACGACAAAGCAACAAAGTAAAGTACTCGAGCATTACATATAATCAAGATCAATGGATGCACTTTCACAGTTGACCATCGAGGTTTCGCATCGTCGACACACGCACGACTTGGCCACGACCGTTTCGTATGAGCGTAGATATTCGGGCGCTCCAGCATCACAATCGGTCAGCTCGAATAACCGCTTTTCGACCACATCGTGAATGCAGACATTGTGGAATGAACGTTTGTATGGAAACCGGTAATCAGAAATCTCGCCGCTGTTGCAACGGCCCCAGCACGACAATAGTCGTATGTAATCACGACACTGCAGTCCGGTCACAGGATCTGTTTGGACCGCTTTGAATGTGAAAGAACGTTCATGACAATCCAAGGTTCGTTGCACAGTCAAATACTTGCGACGAATCTTCTCGTTGATGCGTCTTTCCTTGATGTTGTTGTTGTTGTTGTTGCTGGTCGCTTCTGTCATCATGCGTCCATTTCGGCCATTGGCCGATTTCGCTATCGCTGTGGCGGGCAATGTCAGCATCAAAACGAATGAAATGAAAACGGTCATCAACATGACTACAATTCGCTGGTTCAACAGAACCATGATGATCATCCACCGATGATGAATAGCCATCAATGGTGGTCCAATGACAATCTGATCGCTTTCAAAGTTTCTTCCACGACACGACCGATCAATTCCAAGTGAGTCTGTCCAATCGTCGTCGACGGTTATGTGTTTTTGTCTTTTTGATCCACCACAATGTTGATGAATGAATTACGCTGAGCCACATCCCATCTGGCCTACTGTGGCCATTACAATTTTCGAGTCGGCGTAACATGCGATGACCAGTCAATCTTGTGATATTTCTACTGTATCAATGACTACATTCACCACCATTGAGATGGCATCTGACGGATCCGTTTGCAAACATTCAAAGATTCTGGCTTCCGAACCAGGTTGCTAGATGGCGAACCAAGTGTTTGAAACGATACACTGATTGTTAATTACACAAAGTGGCATTAGTTCACCATGACAGTCAAGTTTGCTTGGTCAATCATTGGGGCAGCCACATATGATTGTAATTGATCCAAATGGCACATTTGCGACAATCTGGCAATCGAATCCAATTACAATCATATGACTGGCTGTGATTAATGTCAATCGAATGAATCGACGTATGTTGAGCTGGCCATATTGTCAATTATAGAGCAATAGATGCCTAATATAAAAGGCAACGATCACGTCACCCGATTTCAAATTGATCAATAAAAATAGACAAGACTCAATCATCTGGGGACCAATATTTGTCTCACTAATTCATTCATGGACTGGTATTAAAGGTTATTTATGTTATTTGTGGCGCCAACAACAATCACGACCACACACACACACAGCCAGGCTTTTGTTTGTGGTTTTTCTCCAGTCGTTAATGAATTCTTCTCATGTAGAATATTGCCATTGCAATCCATGCAACAACACGTCCAAACTCGATTCTGACTGGCTGACCAACGCGATAATCTGTGTCCCAAAGTGCAATTGTTTCCTTTTCTTCTCCTAGCTACGAGTCGCATGTTTTTATTAAGAATTGAGAATTAAGAATGCCAGTCGAGTGTTTGTTTGTTTTACTTTCATAAGATGAGCTCAAAGTGTAACCAACATTATATTCTAGTCATTCAAAAAGTGGTTTCAACACACACTAATGGCATAATGTGTGTGCTAATGGCCATGGAAGCCATGAGCAAAGAATCGAGAATAAAGCCCTGTGTTTGTATAGGCAGATAATGCCCATATTTCGGCCAAATTCGTGTGTCGGTGATAAATAATTCATTGTTTGTCTTTGCAGCCGAGCAGCTCCATTGCTTTTTGGATCACTAAGGCCTGTGTTGAAACTGAAACATGGCACTCGGTTCAAATTTTAAGCTCATCTCTTTTTCGGAACAATCCACATCGATCATGCCATTTGTTCAATACGAATCGGAAATTGTATTATCGATTTTCGTAATCATAACAATCGATCGTCCTCACTAATTTAGCAGCCACGAAAAGAACAACCGGATTGTTGGCTCCTAGTAACCAGACTGACTGACTAATTAATGATGCAACCTTTACTTTTGGGCACTACATTCTACTGGGTAATAATGAGAATATGAGAAAGGCGGAGAGAGAGAGCTCATTTCATTCATATGCTGATCACTAGGCAATGATTGATGTTGGTTGGTTTGTTTGTTTGTTTGTTTGTTTGGTTGACTTGGCACATTTTCCAATGTCAGACCACATGCTGTGGATGGTGTGCTAGTCGGTCATTTGTGCCATTTCGGTTTTCGGGTCGTCGGCACGTCCGTTGCCACATATGTAAATAACGCATCATCAGCGATGCCGAGAATGGAAAAATAAATTTTTGTCCAAGTAGGGCCCCCGCTTCCTCATTGGTCAAGGTGAACGTTATTATGCAAGTTGGGTTATGGCCTAAATTAAATTAGCCGAATCACAAATCTCGAACCGCCTCATATTCTGTGGCCAGGCTTTTTACTTAATAACCAACTCCATGTTGCTTGCACCAATATTAATCCATTTCAACAATGAATGAGCAAATGTCATATGTGCAGACATACTGGCTACTCCCACTCACATTTACATTTGACGAATGCATTTGATAGATTGAATATCACAATAACCCTAATCGCTAAAGGTCCAAGGTTAATTGTGCGCCCATTTTCATTATCGTCATCCAATTTGTTGTTATTTACATGAAATGAATGTGATCAACAATTCAACAATGCACACCGTTGGAAAGAAAGAAAAAAGAAAATTATGGAGGCAAAGCCGCCATTGAAGGGGTGATCATCACTATTGTGTTCTAACTAATAAAAAGGCCATTATCGACTGGAAAACAAAGCCATTAAACAGACAGACAGATGACTCACTAAAAGCTACCCACACTCACATACACACATACAAACATACAAACGGTTAGTTTTGCTAAAGTTTTTAAATAGAATTGTAGAAAAAGTTATCGATTAATCGAACAATAAAACGACTCACTCAACCCAGTGATTCTATTCACAAATTTTCTGCCTTCAGGCACTCAAAAACATTTGCCATCTAATAACCACCAAACTAACAACAACCAACTCATCTCCCACTTGAATCGAATCACTTTGGCACTCATATATAGAAAGTGAGACCATTTTGCATTTCAGACAACAAGATGATCCAGATGAAAATGTTTGTTGCCCATAATAATCAACATTCAACCACCGTCAAGGAATAAATTCAAATCAAGCTCGTATCGTCATGTCATAATGGACATGTTCGGTAATTGGCTTCTACTATCTAATCGCACACTAGCAACTAAACAACACTAACAATAACAAACAAGAGTGAAACAAACAAGGAAACAGTCCTGTCGAACATGTCGAGATTGTACATCTCCAGTTTCCAGCCACTCATCCAAATCAGTGGGTCTCTTTTGTTTTTTACAGGCCTGTCATTAAAAGGCAAATGTGATACGTGCCGCAACCGGAATCGTACGGCTTTCAGCCATATCTAAGGTAATTGAAATGTTCTGCCAAATTTCCGAACAGCACCAACAACAGACAACCCACTCTGGCAAATAACAAATTCAATTGGTTCGATCACTATCTCATATTCTTTGTTTCATTCTCGATTCTCTCCTCCACACACACACACGCATAGAATTCCAATGAATCCCAAAAGAAAAGAAAAAAAAGAAAAGAAAAGAAAATTTCTTTTTCAAATTGAATTCAAAACAAACACATAACCATCAAAATGGTCGTCATCATAGTCTAATTATTTATTTATTATGCAAAGGTCATAGGCAATCGGAAACTGCAATTCATCCAATCAATCGATTTCCATGCTGATAAATTCCAGTTTGTTGTGATTGATTGAACATATGCTATCCATTATCTAATGCGACCAAAACAAACACCTGGATCTCGGTTTTAGAGATGCCTGCAGAATAATGTCAGTCTCTCTCTCTCTTTAATTCCTCGATTAATGTACTGTTGGTTGTTGTTGTTGTTAGTGTTAGTGTTAGTGTTATTTATGATGATGATGGGAGAGTGGGACTGTTATGGTTTACGTCATGATATGAATGAGTGTCATCCGACCACCCACCATCCATCTTACTGTCGGTTGTCTCCACACCATCACCAGAATGAATGAGAGAAAAAGACAAACAAGCTGAGATAGATTGTGGTCGTCATGGCATTCCTTGCTACTGGTTGGTTTGCTGGATCGCAATCATCCGACCAAGATCGTCATCTACACAGATGAGAACAAACAGTGTTGCCATTAATGATGATTACCGTGTGTGTGTGTGTATGTAGAACCCGACAGATACCGAGAGAAAAAAAAGGGACCCAATGAATAAATGAATGAATGATGGAAAAAAAACAGTAAGGCAATTCCAAGATTGCAAACGCGCAACATTCACAGACATTAAAGCAATAGCCAAGGTTACAACCAACTATATATCAGTAATGCTGCAGAATTCTAGTCAGAGAAAGAGAGAGAGAGAAAGATTGGGCCACCAGCACCGTAATCAAGAGCAGCAGCACTATAGTCACAAGTCAAAAGCAGAATGATGCAAGCGATGGGAGGCAGGAACCTTGGAAATGGAAACGGTACATTCTTGCCATCGATTCTAGTGTTGGTTGCCATTCCAATTGTGATATCAGTTTGGCACACACACACACACCACACAAATCCACATCACACACCAGTTTGAATTTGAATGGAATTTGAATTCTCATACTTTTCACAAAGGTGTATCATTTGAATCTCGACCAACAATCAACTTTTGTCCCATCGTTGGTTAATCATCAACAATCAGCAGCCTATCCAAGACAATCATTCGATCCAAGATCAATCAGTTCCATTATAAAGATGAATTGTGTACTGTTACGAGCGTCACATATTCCCATTCTGGTGTTTGTGTTCTTTGGTCTGGCTCGCGGGGCCTACCTGGTCGATTTTTCAAACATGATGCAACACCGTAACAACCTAGCTAATGTCAAACGTGATGGTAAGTCTGGTCAAATCAATATCGAATTATCAATAATCAACAAATACAAATCTACAGTCGCCAAGTCAATCCATAGGTTGATTCATAGGTTTAGCTTACATCGAAAGGCCAACAGTGACCGGCAAACAGAAAATTGATAGACCAACGTTTCGTGACGTTTTCAATTATGAATGCTTCGTCACGAAACATTGGCCACATACACACACACTTACTACACACAGCAATCAATGATTAATGCAATCTATAATCATCTCTTCTGGCTGTTTGCTCGCCGATCCAGGATAGAATTTTTACTACCATAAACAGAAAAACACGACCAACGTCTATTAATAGACGATTAATTAATTTATTATCCCAGTGTATTCGTGACTATATTGACATGGCTGAATTAATCAATTCTGCGCTCAATGCACAGGTGTAACAGCCATGGGCCATGTTTACGACTTGAACACAGACACTGATGAATTAATAATGGGATGCTTTTGGAAAAACTTTTCATTTTTATTTCAACAGAACAAAAGTTGAATTTCAATTGACAATAATAAAAATAAAGATAGAGATAATTACAGCAATAATAATGTGCAGTAATAATGAATTTATTCCGTTTCGCTGCAGATCCCGAACGCTGCCATCCAACGCAGCCATTTCGATGTCCCGGAAATTCATTGATATGCATATCGATACAATATTTATGCGGTAATTATTCTAATGATCCTTAATGGATATTAATAAAGAAAAAATAGTCACAGATGACAATAGACAATACTCACTTTGTCCATTAACGCATGCTTTCTGCTTTCTTGTCCCAACCACCTAACCCAACGATCGTAGATGGTGCGCCCGATTGTCCCGATGGTTATGATGAAGACACATCGCTATGTACGGCAGGTATGTACCATACAATCATTTCTCTCTCTCTCTCTCTCTCTCTCTCTCTCTCTCTGTTCACATTACATCACATCACGTCAATAATTGATGATGGTGGTCATCATTCTATGTGTTATGCTCCATTTGTTCGACACATTCCACATTATATGTATTTTTTGCAAGTAAATAGCAAAGTTGACATTTTGATGCTTTTGCCATTCACCAACAACTCTTTGAAACAACCAGATAATGGACCACATCCATCAATGATCCACGACAATCATTCAATCGATCAATGATTGACGTAATATAGTTAGAGAGATGAGATGAGATGATCATGTGTCATTTGCAAATATGATGAATAACAATATCAATCAATAACCCAATGACTTTTGTTCTTTTGTCATCCTGGTGGAAACAGCCAAAAGGCCACCTGTTGAAGAAACGGCCAACTTCCTGCAGTCATTGCTGACCAACCATGGGCCAAATTACCTGGAAAAGTTATTCGGCAAAAAAGCCCGCGATGCTTTGGCGCCATTGGGAGGCTCACACCAAGTGGCTGTTGCATTGTCCGGTAAGTAATGCATGATTCTGTAATTCTCAATTCTGTTTACAGTCGTTCTGCTACTAACCAACGATCGTTCCATTCTGAAATAGAAAGCGAAACTCTGGATGATTTTGCCGAGCGCTTTACATCTGATGAAAAGCGATAAAGAACATCTTCGCAACATTCTGATTGCTGTCGAATCGGGTGACTTGGGTCTACTCAAATCGATGGGCATTCGTGACAGCGAACTTACCGATCTGAAACTCTTTCTCGACAAACTAGTCCAAACCGGATTCATGGACTGAGAGCTCCAAATGTTTGCTATGAAACGTCTACCAATCACCAATAATCATCTTTGCAATATCTATTTTTATCGTTTGTTACACACACACACACATCGACACATACACACACACACACACACAGACAAACAAACAGACAGACAGAAATGAGTGATGTTTTCACCATACCAGAATCCAGAATTGATCAATCTTGATTATCCATTGTGTTTTTTTTTCATCATTTTGCTTCGTGGACAATAGCCCCCAATCGATTGTTGTTTATCGGACAAAACCCAACTAATTATAGCCGAAACCTAGCAACCCGAATTCAATAGCCATGTGTGCTGTAAGTGTGCGTGTGAATATCGATCTGAATATAACCGAGGAGAGGGCGAAATTTGGTGAATTGTGATCAACCAATCAATCATCATCATTCGCATTCATTCTCCATCTCGCTCTTCATCTCCATTCATCATTGACTCATTTATCCATCGGTCGTCGTCATCCAAATTCAAATTGGCAATCAAATTCAACCTGGTTATTATTAATATAACGTTGATAACACTGACAACATTGTCATTGTCATTGTGTTGTGCAATTTCAATTGTTCATTTATTCATTAATAAAAGCCATGAAAAATTCAACCACCATTGCACACCATTATTATTGGAAACTTTTGTTTGTTTATTCAATGTCATTCCAGTTATTCAAGTCGTTTGAACAAATTAAATACAACAAACACAACATTGAAAATAAACTAGTCAAACATTGAATCGATTCGCTCCGGTGAAATTTTGTTGTCGTTGTCGTTTTTCTTTACAATTTCCTTGCACACTATATTGTCGTCTTTCCGATTCTACATCATCATCTGTACACAGATATTTTGAAACCATTGAACATCACATAAAAGTAGTGTTTGCATAGCAGGGCCTGTTCCAATACTGATGGCCGGCCATGGGTAATGTTGTATGTTTGTTTGGTTTCAAATATATATATATCTCATTTAATCATCATGTATCATAAAAATGGACAAAGGACAATGGGAAAAAGTGATTCATTCAATGATCGTCATGTGATCGGGCCCGTTTCGATATATCTCGTAACCGATGTTCGATGGCCGAATGTAATTGGTCTATATCTTTTGGGTTTGCCTGTGAAAACAAAACAAAACAAAAAAAAACATGAAACCGAAATGAAAATCAATTGAGAATAAAATTAGAGACTACCTTGATCATGTAGATACCATCAACATAGGTGAAACGTAAACAATTCTCGCTGGCCAACTCGAATGTCATGCCGGCCACAATAAGAGCGTTCAAAATTAATCGATAAGCACCAGCCGTTCGCATCACTATGCAATTGATTAATGGTACGTTTTGATATGAAGAAATGACAGCACTTACCTAGTCGTGAGCATAGTTTCTCATCCTTCATCACATCGTTCAGGTGAAGCGGACCACGACCTTTCTCTACCCAGGAAGCTTTATCTGTATCCCAGGCATACAACCGTCCGTGAATGCTCAACACATTCTGTTCGTCTGCAATGATATTATTACTAGTCATATTGGTGATTCAAAGACAAAACAGATAATTACCTTCTTCGCCTGTAATGACTTCGTATTTACGTTTGAAAATGCTTTCGGCGTTACTGTCGCCGCCATTCTTAATGACCGACGTGAACGAGGTCGAAGAATCTGGGTCATTGTCACCCGTACTCTGTGTTGTCAGTGTTTTGATGATGGTCGATTCCTCACAATTCGACACATCGCTGAATGATATCAGATGAGGACGATCCGATGATGAACACGAAGACGAAGATGATGATACAGTGGCAGCCGACGATGGAAATGATAATGCATGATTGGCTGATGATGTGGATGATGATGCCGTTTGGCTACTGTTAGCAATCAGCTCGGACTGATCAATGACCACTCTGTCTTCGACTTTTTGGCCAAACAAAATGTTTTCGAGGTACCCGCTCCGTCCAAAGTGTTTGAACTTTTCATGACAGATGTCGTCTCATCACTGCTGGATGTGGTAATCAAACTGGTCGTATTGCTACCACCATTCGATGTGATTAACGGCGATGTTAATTGAATGAAAGCAGGCGTCTTTATCTTTCCAATGTCTTCTTTGTTCAATGAGATGAATGTTTTGCTTGCTGAAATCGTTTCGTTTGGCTTTCGAATATCTAAATCATCAAAAATGACAAAAATCAGTCATGCGAAACACAACAAAACAGACAAACCTGATATGCTGCCATCAGACGTTTTCAGTATCGTTGGCTGAAGGAAAGAGCTGGTCGCATTTGGTGGCCCCAGCGATGATGGAATCAATTTGGGAGGCGCGAAAATGATTTGCGATTCGCCCGATGATGAATCCGATGCATCGCCATCGGCACAATTCGATGTAGCCGACGTCGATGATGATGACAATGAAGAATTTGTGTGAAAACTGGTTGCTCGTAAAAATGGGTTGTTTGGTGCAATGTTAGAACTGAGTAGAAAATTGGCTCCATTCGAAGGCGAACAAATTGATGAGCATTTCTTTTGTTCACCATCAATTTGTCCACTTGCCGTATCGATTACCTGGATGACAGGTGTCGGTGTTGACTTTGAAGGCGATTTTATCACTGATTCACTTCGTTGGATCGTTACATGTTGTTGTTGTTGAGCTTGGTGTGGCTGGTCAATGTCACAACAACGACCATCATCTTGGCCATCAATGATTGTTTCGGGCCTTTCCTCACTTTGGCGATCTTTATCAGATGATGGTGACAAAACGACACCATCCTCGGTGGCCATCATCTGATCGCCACACTCTTGATGTGACATTGATACAATCAGTTCGTAATTACGAGTGTCAAACAAAAAGAAACTTGGCCTAGACAGAAAAAGTCAACATTCGTATCGAATCAGCTGGCATTTGACATACCTGTTTACCGTAGTAATAAAATCGATCAATTTACAGCCGTGATGGATAAAATTCAATTCTTAACTCGGATTCATTCAATTCGTCAGATTCGTTGGATTTTATTGTTATTGATGACAAATTGTGAGTGCATTCGGCAGACTGCAGTCAACACACACACACACACACACACACACACACACACACTACAAACACACAACAAACAAGGCCCATTCATACTTCTGTTACATGATGTGAACAGCGCATGTGCCGAATTCATTTGAGCAATTTGTTTTTGAATTCAATGATGCAATTTTTATTGTTAAAAATCAATCCGATTCAACAACCTCCATGTACTTTCCTGTTCCTGTTTCTTAATCTGAGCACTAATATGACAAAGCATAACCATTCATTTAAATGAATTCATAGTTATTGTTTTTACGCACAAATCAACAAAACATTTGGCATCAGTCATGAATGACGTAATGGTAAAAGTTTATTTTAAATTTTACAAACAAAAATCAAAAAAACAAAATCAAAAATGAAAAAAAAACAATACATTGTGTGTATACAAATTAATTACAGGCGATCAATCAATCATACAGGAGGGCCAAGATTGGTTAGGTTCAATATGCGGAAATTATCACTTCTTGATGACGATGATGACGATGGATTTAATGTGGATGACGATGATGATGATGATGATGAGGCCGAAGAAGACGAAACGGCCAACAGACCATTCTTTAGGGCGATAAGGCAATTGTCCCGAGTGAGCAAGTAAAATAAATCACATTTGTACGAATAACACATACTGTATGTATATATTTGATTATTAATGCATTAGATATGACCAATCAATAATCAATAAAATGACTTACCTGATTATTGGACTGGAATTCAATGACAATGATATCAAATCTGAATGAATGGTTCGAATAAGAGTGAGATCCCATGAACTCCAAAGCTTGATTGAGCCATCGGATAATCCAGTGCAAATGACATTGATAGAAATACCTTCCGGACAAGATGAATAACAGACGGCCGTGATGTATGGTTCCGAACGATTCGTGTGAATGTCTGCCACAGGTTGTCCATTCAGTGTAAACACATAAAGTTGACTGGTAAGCACTTGTTTGCTAGTCGTATATGTGACCACGGCCATATCACCCAACGTGTTACTGATTGTAGACATCGAGACCGATACATTATGATGATTAGTGTCCAGAATGGTTCGCAAATATTGTTGTTTGTTCATGTCCCATACAATGCATCGTCCATTTGAATCGGTGGATAGAGCTACATTGAAATTCCTATTGATCGTGATCGATGTGATTGCTGACTGATGACCAACAAACAGCGATGGCCGATCCTTCAATTGGATAGCGTGCAGATCCTACACGATGTAACAAATGTGATTAGCAATGATGATTGGCAATGGATTTTCTTACACTTACGTATTGTTTGTCAAATTTCAATGAAAAGGCAATAATTGTGCCCGATCGATAGCCAACCAAAATCCATTCATAGTCGGGAATCGATTCACAGATACAAATCTACAATCATCAAACATGTATACATGTGATTAGATCAACTGATATACTATTAATATACTATTAATATATACTATACTGTAGTGCACTATACCTCATCAAGCAATGAATTCATTTCGGCATTAAATAACCGTTTGTCCTGTTGATTACGGAACCAGATAGTGGCATGTTGTGGTGACCAAGTGCACAAAGCGTAAAAGATGATGTAACTAGTGTTGATGAATTGATTTCTAGCCTGATTGTAAGCGACCAAGGGTGAAGAATTCGGTGGCAATAGCAACAGATCGTTGGTAGGCAATGAAACTAAACGGTCAATACGAAGCGAAAACCGTTTGTGGAAACAAATAACCGGCGTCTGATAGATTGGCGATCCAACATAATTACCCCATTTCAGTCCAATCACTTCGCCCATGGCCGGTGATTGCGGGATATTGTGATGACTGTCTTCGACCGGAAACCAAACATCGGTCTGTATTGCTGGATGAGGCATCTGGAACAGTTGACTGGGCATTTGGCCATAAGTTTTGATCATTGTTTTCAGTGCATGACGTTTGACTTGGTCTCTGATTTTGGACAGATCGGCCGTAAAGTGGGTGGCCGGATGAAACACATTGATGGCTTCGACTGCTGCACGACCATTCTGTTTGTAGCCAAAGATCAAATCGAACCAATGATTCAGGTGTTGGGTCACGTAATTCGATTCCAATGCCTGGCGATTGATCAACGTAAAAAGTCGAGCGCTGCCTCGTGACCACGGCGGTAGTTTCACATCATTCACACGTTCACCATTCTGACGAACGCCTAAATCGAATCGTTCCAGATTGCAGAGGAATTCCGGTAGATAGAAAAATTCAGGAATCATTTCCTTGAAGCCATTGGTCGAATCTTCGGTGGCCAATCGCCATGTTGTCTGGATCGAATGAAAACTTCTGTCGGGCAAGTCGAAATTACGATCCTGATAGTGGAGAAACATCTGTGTGTATGGTGGCAATCGAACCAGATAATAGAGAACAATGCCACTGTTGCTGTAATGAGCTCCATAGTGGTAAGGCGTTGAAGTGACACCGGGAAATGGAACGACGTCCCCATTCTTGGATTTTGGCCGACCACCACCACCACCACTTGCATTGTTTTCCGCTTCGATGTAGTTGTACTGGTCGATGTAATATTTTTCTCGTTCTTTTTTCTGCACGGCAATCGGTTTGGCCAGGTCTCGATATGACTGGCCATCCAAAAGATTCAGAATGTGACTAGAATAATCGGCCAACACGAACGGAAACACCGGATACTGCATCAGATCATTGAACGTTCTGCCACTCAGTCGGTTCAAGTGCATTAGATAGTCGAAATTGGAAAGACGTCTTTCACGCCACATTTGTGTCAGTGAAACGAGGTTGATGGATTCATTCAGATTGACCAATAGGTCACGATTCTGCATAAGGTGTTGGTGGCATTCATCACGAGCAGTGTTTGATTCGAACGCAATCAAATAGGTTAGGCCAGATGTGAGCACAATCTCGATCGCTTTGTTTTGCAGTTCGTATCGACATTTGATCAGTTCTTGTATTTCATCCATGTCGATGGAAAAATTCTGGAAAAACGCACGCTTCGAACTAAAACTATCGAACCGATGACTTGTCACAGCTTGGCCGCTGCCATTACAGATGAATTGGATTTTGTTTCGTTTGACCAGGATTTCGCCTTCGATTTGATCATCGTAAAGAATGACATTGGCCATCGATGTGAACAGTAAGACATCAGTGTCAAGATGGGAAACCAAACAGCCATTGCCATTGCTTTCATCTGGTGCTTGTGCTGGTGGTGGTCTGGTTAGTTCGTTGATCGAAATGGTGCTGAAGAAATTGGCCGATGATTGAACTGGATCGTCCATTAATGTGGAAAACAATTGTTTCGAACGTAATTGTCTGTCGTTACTCATGACGTAGCGATCATCCATTTCAAGAAAACAACGTTCCATTTTGGTACGAACACGACCTTGACTTTCGAATGGACTCAATTCCCAACTCTGCGGATAGTATTCAGGCAGAAACCAGCAACTTTTTTCCTGTAACAAGTGGCCGATTAATTGAACCAGTCGCTTTTGGGTGGCTCGATTGTCAAGTTGTTCCCGTTTCAGATGTGAAATGTATCGTTTCTTTTCGGCCTGTTGAGCCACAATTATTCGATCGTTGAGTCTGGAGGCTTCATCAAGCACCTTATCAAACACCAAGGACATGTTGGCAAATATCCGACTAGAAGAACGGAGCAATTTAGTTTCGTATTTAGTTTGTGCTTCTTGTACTCGTTCATGCCATGCGGCAAGCACCGATTTGTAAAAGTATTGATCCTTGCCATCCAAATCAAATTGACGTCGAAATTTTCGGTAAACATGGCTCATTAATATTGCCGTTGGCTGTTGTTGGCGGCGGTAGTCGTCGTCGTCGTTGTTGTCGTTGTCGTCAGCGATGTAGCTATCGTTGACCGAGACAAATGGTTCGGCATTTTCCATCGCAGACCAGCTGAAAATGTTCAATTCTCTCACTCCGAACTCGATTAGATCACGAAGAAATTCATCCATCAGGAAGATAAATTGACCATCGTGTTTGGTGTCGACAAATTGTTTGATCTGGTCGAATTGATTGGTTTTCTCGTAAAACAGATGCAAGCAAAAGATTCGATCATCAATTGATTGCAAATGAGACATGAGGAATGTGACTAGTTGATTAAGCAACGCTTTGAAAAAGTCTCGACCATTCGATAGACATTTGAACCAGGCTACACTTTTCTTGTTTATTCGCGACACTTTTAACGATTCGTTCTCAATCTGATCAATCAGTTGAAGCAAATGATAGAGCAGTTCTCGTTGAAAGTATTTCTCTTTCTGGCCCAAACCAATTTTGGCATTTCGGCAGACAACAAAGTCGACAGATTTTTGCGCCACCATTTTGATACGGTCAAACATTGTTTTCGGCTGCAAAACAATAGCTTTTGGTTTCGTATCATCACTTGTTGTGGACCATGCATGGATAATTCGATCGAATGCTTCAAAGCAGGAACGAAATATCGTCACCTGAACGTTACGGAATGTGGCAGCCACTTGAGCCGATATTTTACGCTCAATCATGGCATAATAATTGACCAAATCGTGGATGAAATGGTCGTAGAGTTGTACATCATTGCATTGATGATGATTATATGCAGAGCTAATGTTTGCAACGATTCGATAGATTGCCTCGTTCAGATGTTCTCGGTTATATTTGTTCATGTCTTCGGCTGGGATCGATAGTTGTGTATTGACATTGATCAACAATTTCGTTAATGATTGCGCTAGGCCGTATTGTTTGTGTAGTTCATCCAACTGGACGATGGTCATCTTGTCGACAATTTGATACATGAGCTGCAGGATGCGATAACATAGGCTTATCGGGTGCAAACACTTTGGCAACAATGCAAGCAATGGAATAAAATTCTCCAACGAAACTTTCATCACCATACGTTTCAAATCGACCGACGATTCTGGATGTTTGCACAGGTCATCGATTCGACGTTGGTTGGTCACATTGAACAGAAATGCCACACAGCTGTTCATTATATGTTCATCAGCGTAATAGTTGTACAATTGATTCGATACCAGCAACAGACCAAGAGTTTTTCGTTTCAACCATTCTTGCTCTGAATTGGCCGACTGGCATGAAAGTTGAAAGAGCTTGAAAAATGTGGCCAAAGCCTGCTGTCTAACCTGGCCAGATGGATTGTTCACCAGGACAATAAGGAAATCGAATAAAGAGACATTTCTGTCCACCGAACAAGATTCAACTAATGACACGAGATAATCATTGGCGAACATCTGATCAACGTATTTATCAAGCAATCGAATCAATTCCCGTGTGATCAACTGGCAATCTTGGTTGTTGCTAAAACTGGGTGTCGGCTGTTGTTGTTGTTGTTGTTCAATTGTGGTGGCTGTATGTTCACAGCTGACAGTGTCGACGAATTCTGTGACAATTTCCCAATCATCATCATCATCATCATCATCAAGATTGTTACCAGAATCATCGTCATCATCATCTACGGTTGATTGTAAGAAAGAAAGTTGCGGTCGTTTGCTCAGATTTTTCAATTCAATCATATCTGGATCGTTGTTAGCTTCACCAGTATCATCTTTGATCGTTTTCCATGTTGATGGAAAAATGTAATAGAACGAGGCTTTCGTTTGATTTACGTGCAGCCATTCGGTGGGCTGCAAAAGAAGTAGACAGTCCACGACAGCTTGAAGCAATTGTGGCTGTTTGTCGCATTCATTCTCAATCAGACTCTGAATGAGACGTATCAATTGGTCGGATGAATCGGAAACAATGTTACCATGGTTATGGTCAATGATGTTGTAATTCAAATGAACGTTTTTTATCATACGCATCAGATGGTCGAATGCATTGGTTCGTTGCAGCAGAAGCAAATTGTAGGCTTGAAAAGGGTTGCAAGGTTCAGTAAGAGACATGAGCGTTTGAACGAATAGTTTGCTTGTCGTTGAACTTTTAACCCAAACACGCCATGAATCGATGAACAAAGCAATGTTTGACGGGACAATTATCACCGGATATTGGCTATTGTTTGGATGCCAATGCAACGCAAACTGAGCAAAAGTTTTCAGCATTGATGTTGTGGGCGATTTTGCCGATCTATCCAACGCATATGACAGCAAAGCATATGCTTCATGGTGACGATCAAACATCAAACGATTATAATAATGGCTATTGTATGTGTGCAGAATCAATTCCAGAGCCTGGTTCCATACTTGTTGACTATCGGTGTGTTCCATCAGATAAAGCAAAAGAAACACGAAAACGGAAATGCCACCAATGTCGGCGATCGTTTTGACAACAACGGCTCCATTGCAACCAGCATCCAGTTTGCCGTTCAATTTGATTCGATACAATCGAGCTTCTTGTTCATCAGATGTAATTAATTGATTGTTTGTGCGCGCAAGCAATGTTCGTAATAATGGATTGATCAGACTGGTTGTGTTTGATTCCGGTTGTGCAGGCCACAAATAGTACAAGTTTGGTGTTGATGCCCGATATAGCATGACTAGATTGGCCGTGATTGATTGTGATGAGTTCGATACGGAATTTGCCGACGACGACATCAATGAGGTCAACATGTCCACATTGGATTCATCAGTGGTGATCAATTGTCGTGGTAGAACAAAGTATTGATCACGTTGAATAATGTCATCGCCAAGATGATGAAAATGACTAAAATCAGGTCCTAATGAAAGGAGCAAAATACGACCAAATGGTTGAAGGTGTTGTTTGAAGAACATCACATTGGACAGTTTGTAATGAAAGTCGGTAATGTTTGATTGTTGAATAGAACCGAGAAGCAAAGCACAATTGGCGGACGATAATTCACTGGCTCGATGTGCATGGTCATTGAACAAAGTGGATGGATATGACCATTTGACAAATTTTTCGCGGCCACCGTTCACAGTGTGACTAATTTGAATGCAATGGGCTCGATTGACACACTGTTCTTCGAAATTGACGCAAATCAGATTCCAACAGCCAAGCAGATCAACACTGCTCGGCACAAAACTTTCATTCAGACAAAACACTTTGCCATTGCTTTTCTTGGATAACCGATACACGAAACGATTGTAGAGAAAGTCAAACCACATTTCCATGGTGATACAGTCCAATACCAACGAACAAATGTGCATCTGACCATCATGGCTTGGCTTTTGATTTTTGTTTTTCTCAACAAATGGAGCTCGTTTCTCGAGGAAAATCCAGCATGCCAACGTACATCGTAACGGAATCTGGTGTTTGATCACTGAGCCATTCAGCGGTATGGCCATAGCAAATGATCGCAACGAAATGTCATTGTCACTATCACCACTATCACCATGTCCATTATAGTGGTCATCATTCATCGAACAGATCAATTCGTCGAGCCAATCAGTTTTGGTTTTTTTTATTGATTCCGAGCACAATCTGGTGGTCGGAAATTGAACAAAATGTTGAGGTGAACTACTACCACCACCACCACCACCACCACCAACACCGATCGAACATTGATTTCGGCCAACAATATTGGGGGGAAAAAGTATTTTGTTCATTATGGACAAAAGTGATTCATAGTCGGCGTCTTTTTCTTTGAATAGATCGATGCACATTCGTATTGATTCTGATGTCAATCGATTACGGGTTAACAAGATGAACAGATCGAATAACAATTTTTTCACTGGTTTATAGTGGCTGCTCGATGAGGATAAAATGAAACGGAAATGCTGCATTAATGTTTGACTGAAATTGGCTTCAGCCATGATGGCAATGTTGTCTGGATTATCGCGGCAATAACCAATCAGTTGATTGAAGCAAATGGCAACCATGTTCAATTCGTTCTTCAAGTTGAGATCAATTTGGTGTTGCGTTAGCAGCAGCAGTTTCTTTTTCGTCGTTAACCATTTGCTCAAGAATTCCAACACTTGACGACAAAGAGGAACGTTGCAAAGAGATGCTGGACGTGAAGGCGATTCTTTGACGGACAAACCTTGATCACGAATTTTTGTTTGTCTAACCAAACATTCAATATCAGCTTCATAGCCAGCATCATCGTGGCCATTACAATCGAAATTGTCATCACAATTATCGTCATTATGATCACTCATAACACTGTCGAATGAGAGGGCTCGTTGTTGTTGTTGACAATCTAGAATGGACAGTAAATCAGTGCAACTATTGGTCCACAGATGAATGTGTTGATCATTAATGATTGGACAATCGAATGACACGCGAAGAATCATCTGCAATAATTGACCCATCAATTTGGTCATTATTAGCGATTCATAAATGGGCCATTGTGTGATTGTATTTGCTTCGATAAGAGTATCCAATTTATCGACAACGAATTGACCAAGTGTGGTAGTTGTTGAATCTATCGGTTCTAGTCGTTGTATGAGTGATAATAATGGTTCCATCAGTCCAATCGATTGTTCACAGAATAGCAAGTGTTTTTGTTGTGGCTGTGGAAGCAGGGCTAGTAATTTCATTTCGTTCAATGTTTGTTTGAGTAATTTACAAGTATGGAGCCACAATTTCGACGTAAAGTTATAGGGTTCATTATTTAACAGATTGGCCAACTGTGGATAAAGCTCTATTGTGCTATTTGCTAGCCATAATAGTCGATCCAAGCTAGAGAATGTCTGCGATAATCGATCGATTCGCAAGTTCAATGATTCATCATCAATGAGAATGTCGAAGCTATGGTGTTTGTAAAAGTCAATATATTGCTCCAATGATTCCATTTTTGGACACGTGTTTGATTCGAAATGTTGCATCGTTTTGCGCAGGATACATTGATCAAAATGTTCGGCGAATAGATCAATGATAATGGCAATCGTTTCAAACGATTGTTTGTTGTCGGTCAGTTCACAGATGAGCAAATTACGCAATAGCTGGATACTAAGACAGGCTAAATCGTTATGTGCGTGATGCGAATGACTATTATTATCATTGTCAGACGCTTTATGATTCGGATTTGAAATGTATTCAATGATAGCAGGCCAGGCTTTCATCTTGGAAATCGTCTGCAGCAATTGTCGACCGCTTTGTATTTGTTGAGCTTTTCGTTTGCCACCGGATAACGGTGTAACGGTGGTAGCAGCAGCAATTAGTAACCGTAAAACGAAAACACTAACATCGGATGGGTATGATTGACTGTGGCCATCATCAGATATGACTGGTAGTATGATATGGACCAATATTGATTGCTGACAATGGCCATCAACGAATGAGAATAAATTATACAAATGTCGATAAACCGATTGCCTGATGGCAATCGAGTCAGACCGTAGCAATGTACGATAGTGATGCGATAATGAACTCATCAGACAATTATCCGATTCAATGGTTGATTTTCGATCACTCGATACGGATTGTGTTCGATGATGATGATGATGAGCATCCGATAACCAACAACAGTTGCCATTATCGGTAGCATAGCCTTCACTGTACAGGGGAGATGGTTCTTGTTCATACTGTTGTTGTACTGCTGTTGTTGGTTCATTCGATCGTTTCACGTTTTGGCCATCGTTTGAACTACTAGTGGATGCACAAAAGCTACATTCATCAATGAATTGTGCTGATGGCGATTTTCTAGTCTTGTTGATTTGATGGCTTTGATGCCGTTGAATTCGTACATTCAATTCAATCACATTGAATATGGCATGTCGTATGGACGCTGCAAATGGTCCGGTAGCTGTGATAGCCATAAACAGTAAATGTTTGCAATATCTACGCAACACACAACAACAAGAGATCAATTGCGATAGCTGATGACACACATGATTAAGTAATGATTCATTGGTTGCATTCCATTTGGCTACAATGAATATCACTCTGACCAAAAGCGAATATATCAAGGCGGAAGGACAGTAATCATCATTGTGCGACCATGATAAATTGATGTGAAAATGATGATGTACAATCAATGGAGCCAGATTACATCGAATATGACGTCGTTTGCGACGGCAAATTTGTCTGTGCATGGACAACGCCTGGTTATATTGGATGGCGATGTGTAATTGTTTGAGTAAATCAATCATCCGATATAGTGGCGGATCGTGTTTGATCGAAGATTGGAAAATGTTCATCAGAAATGAGGCCAGATTCGCGTGTTTCTCATCCTCATCATCATCGTCATTATTATCGGGTTCATTGGATGCAAACATTAACGTTATAAACGAGTGAAACAAACCAATTGGTTTGTTCATATCTGTAGACGATGACTGCATTGTCAGCGATTGTGATATGGTTATCATTAAGCTTAACAAGCAATTACCAGTCTCAATGGATTCATTGTATACAATGTTCGTGTTCACGTATTTCATCCAAGATTCGATCAATCCGACTCTATCGATTAGTTCGATTCCGGTGAATGGTTTATGATGGCAAACAACCATACAACTAGCCAATAGTAAATGATTCAATTCGATGATTTGATTGGTTATATTGTCCACGGATTTATGCATCAGATAGGATAATTCGCGTATGATCAATATGGACACTAGTTGATTGTCGTCTTTTTGCAAGACACGAAATCCATTCTTTTCAAACGAGACCAATTTGGATAATAAGCTTTCCAATGTCCAGATGAGTTGAGTTTTTGTGGGCTTTTCGTAATTGGCACCTATCATTGGATGTTCAATGGTGTTGTTAATTGTTGTGATTAGACATGGAATCTTTGTGAATGGCTCTCGGTGATCAGGTTCATCATCACTACTGCTACTGCCATAATCGCGAGCATATCGTTTCGATGATTTGTTTTGTCCAAACAAATTGGAGCCATCTCTGCTCTTGAACCAGCATTTCACTTTGATCGGCGATAGAATTTCATCATTTCGGCTTACTGTTTTCAGATAGAGATCCTCTTTGAAATTTGTTTCACTTTTAATCGACGACCAATCGATTCGAGCTTGTTGTTTGCTGTTTGCATTACATTCAACATGGTCGTTGTCGTTGTCGTCGTCATCGTTGAGAAAATGATTGAGGACTAGAATGAGTATTTTGGCCAATTCGAGATTATAGATACAAGTGCCACCTTCGTGGGCCAGAAAATGACTGAAACATTGTAGGAACTTGAATCCAACACCATGGTCATCGTGTAGAAAATATTCATCAAACAATCGATCAGTCTCATTATCACTGCCATTATTGTGGCTGCATTTGGAATGACTTTGATTGCTAAGATCAATGATGAATTGATGAATGAGCCAATTGCCAATGCAATAATGTGTGGTTCGTTGCAATTGATTCAATGCTGCTTCTTCTGGTCTTTCATCATGCAATTCTTCGAAATAGACCAGACAACAATCCAGCAAGCGAATCAAATGATTTCGTTTCTCCTATTAAATGGACCATCCATCATTTGGTGGTTATGAAATTGTTTAGACTCACTTACCTTGGGTTCATTTTTCGAATCAAGCTGACAGGTTTGCCACAATTGTCGCAATTTCTGTGGTCCGATTGTGGTTACCATCTCTCTATATATTTGGACAAATTCGATGATTGCTCTCACCGTAATAGGAAATTATAGAAACAAATAATCGTCTCATCGAAAGACATGACAAAATGTGTTTATCACTGATGAGCACCAAAATCAATGTAATAGCGTTCTGATGGGCGACTTGTATCAAAGTGTTTCGATTGTTGTTATTGTTGTAGTTGTTGTTGTCGTCGTTGTTTCTTCCTTCTAATAATGATAGAAATCAGTCAATCAGTAATCACTATCGCGTTATCGTTATCAACAATACACTTACCAAGCGATTGCTGATGATATTGGATTGGACATGTCGGAAATTATAATTTACAATGATTATGTTGTTCGAACATGAACAAATTTTCTACAAACATTCAATCCAATGGTTGATTAAATGTTTGTTTGTTTCATCAATCGATAACAAAAATATTCACCAACACACTCACACTCATACTGACACTCACATACACACACACACACACACACAGTGTATTCATTCAATCATTCATCAAATCCGAATCCAACAACAAATGAACATCAGAATTTATTGATTGATTAGTGTCTTATTATCTGCCATTCGGGATTGTTTGTCTTGTTGTTGAACATGACATTCGTTGTTTCGAATGACGTAAATTGATAACATTTTGTTATTATGATGAACACATTCAAACAAACTTTACGAACGGCCATCGATTTGTTTGGTAGTGATCAGGTGATTGTGTGATTCGAATTGATTCTAAATAATAATAAATACATATAATATACATAAATACAACTGTTATTAAAATTAAAATTATAATAAAGAGATAATCATCATCATGACCATCGACGAGAACGTAATCGAAGGGTTGCAAGATGATCAAGATGGCAAACAGGTAAGCAAGCCATAACAGCTGCCAATTATAATAATACAGTTGTGTTATGATTGCAGATAATGCTGTTTGGCACGGACATAACAAAAATACCATGTTTCAAGAATTCACTCTTAACTGGTATATATGCCGGTTTTGGCTGTGGTATAGCCTCGTTTCTGGCTACAAGTAAGAATTTATTCCTTAATTAAATGTGTGGTAACAATTTCTAATAAAATGAACATTTGTTTGTTTGTTTATTTGCAATCATAATAGGTAGAGTGTTACAATCGACAAACATTTCCATTTTATCGTTTGTTTTGGTTACCTATGGCTACTGGTTTAATTGTCGAATAAAATGGGCCAAAGATAATTTCAATTGCCGCCAAGCAGAAGGAACATTTGCCGAGGAAATTGAATCGATCAAATCACGCAAGAAAAAGATGACTGACTGAACATCTAGATTGGTTTGTAGAGCATGGTTGTAACGTATTTTTTGCGATAACGATGTATGGCACTCAAAACCATAACTCCATCCTGTTGAATGAATTGAAATAATAAATGTCATTATTATTCATCACTGTTTACATGTGGTGTTACCATACCTTGATAGACAAAGCATACAAATGATTCAACATGACATGATTCGGCTGCGGTAACAAAGTTGGTTCGCCAAAATTAACTGAAGGATTGTTGAGGATCACCTGCAATAGATGTGGGGGCAATATGGGTGGACCACTTTGATTTCCACTACCGGAACCAGTGGTCGAATCATGCGAGAATGTCGGTATAGTTTGTGAATACGAGCCAGGCGGAGATCCAGACAATGCATTACTTGTCGAATGTGTGTTGTTTGTATTATTGTTGTTGTTGTTGTTATTATTATTGGAAGCTAAATCCATGGCAAGTGCTTCGAATACTTCGAAATCGGATTTCTCCACGTTCAATACATTGTTCGATTGGCCATCATCTACTTTGGCATTTTTGTCAATCTTTTCCACACCATCCACCAGGAATTTGTATTTGTGAACTCCCTGAGTGTGTGTGTGCGAGTGTCAAAGGTTGTGAGTAAATCAGTATAGGTCATAATGATCAACTCACCTCAGGTATGTCGATAATGGTGACAAAATCACCCTGACTTTGAACCATACGAACAGGTTTCCAGTCGGAAAAGGTGCCCGTAATGTAGACATCTTTGCCACCACCATCCCATTTGAATACGGTTGGTAGCATTTGATCGTTCAAAGCATTGATACCTTGACAGGAATTGTCCAAATAGTTTTTATAATCATCACCATTATCTTCTCCACTGTAATCACAGGAATTCTGATAGCAAAGTACCGGTCGACGTTTCGTACTGAAATCGAACGTTTTACCATCCTCGCCGGGTCTTGGTGATTCACGGCGATCTAAACAACCACCATTATAAACATCGATCGAATATGGCCTTTCGATTCGTTGTTTTGAATTGTTTGTGTTTGCGTTTCCCATTCTCAACAGTTATTATTATAGTGCACTAAGTGGTAATTGTCAAGGTTTGTCAAGTGAATAATAATCGAGTGTATGTTGATGCGTCTGAAGAACATTCATCGATCATGGTCATATTTACAATCAAAACAAACTGCGTCTTTCACTAAACACAAACACACGGATTATAAATAAGTTTGTCCATAAACAAACACAATGCACATGTGCAATTATGCTAGCAGTATTGATATATTGAGATGATTGATACTCTTGCAAAATTGTCAACATATATAATCCTTTCTCAGGTGTACGTCTTTTCTGAACGGTTAACAATATTCAGTTGGCATCATATTGGCATCGATTGATGATATGATATACATCTAGCTCAGTTTGAATGATAATTTTTCCAATATAACACAATATGTCGAGACAATCTAACCATGATCGATACCTCGAAACATCGAACGTCAATCATAATGGTGATGATGAGGATGACGACGACGAAGATGATGATGACTATTCGCCCAACAATGAGGACCATGCCAGTGGTGAAGGTTTGTTTTGGTTTGATTATTCATTATTGATTGTTTTAAGCATCACTGTTTGTTCATACAGAATCCGATTCGACAACTGATCATCAGGAGGAGGAAGAAACCGTTGGCCAAAATGATGAAGCTAAATCAGAAACAAAGAAGAAAACAGATGATGTGACGATTGATACGAATAAACTGGATGAATTATGGAATGATTTTTGCAGCGACAAACCAGTTGCAGCGAAAGCAAGCCAACCAGATGCCAATCAATCGACCAAGGCTACCATCACCAAACAATATGATTTTGCAGGCGAAATTGTCCTGATTAACGAGACGGTCGATGCTAACCAAACTAAATCAATTGATGATAATGATCAACAAGCCGAAACGGCCTCATCATCATCATCATCAGCCAACGTTGGCGTCAAACGCTCATCTGGTAGCGGTGGCCTTTCCGGTCTATTGACACAGTTGAAAAAACCAAAGATCAGTACATTGAAGAAATCGTTACACGATTGGGCCGAATTCAAAGAATCGAATAAATTCGAAGAGGAACTGGATCAACATCGACGATCGAAAGGATCATTTCTTGAACGTCAGGCATTCCTATCTCGAACCGATTTTAGAGAATTCGAACGTGAAAAATCCGTACGCGACCGACAACGTAAATTACGAGATTTGAAGCAGCAAAATAATTGATTTTCTACCCTCATTCTACTACAATTAGCCACTGAATCATTAATAAAGACACCGACATTTTGTTAATTAATAAAAAAATAAATTGGGTTTTATATTTTATATCCATCATCATCAGGCTATATCACAACATTGTCGATCAGTTCGGACAAGGTTCTGTGCATGGTTGAAAGATGTGTTGAGCCAACTATTCGAACAACAATGGCTATCTGCATAGCAGATTGCAGCTATGATCGATGTGAACAATAGAAATGTTAGCATTGAACATAGATCCGTATTAGATATGACCAATGCAATAATGGTGGCCATCAAAAGAATGGTAAAGTATACACCTGTAGTAGTAGGCATAATTAACTTTAGCTTATAACAAACCTAAGTGCACACTCAACTCACCCAATGAGCATCGCATGACCATTCGGTATTTGTAGCTCCAAATTTCTCGATCATCATCATCATCATCACAATGATCATCGATGCTAAGCTGGCTTTCTTTTTCATCATTGTCTTGTGGCTGTTTGTTCATTAGGTTTAAATTTTATTGTTTTCGTTATTATTACTTGAGCGCTCACACAATATGTGTGTGTTTAACTTGTACTCGCGGTGAACATTTCCCATTTCCAATGGCAATTCAACCTTAACAGATCGAAAACATTCATTCCATCATCATTCATCATGGAAAAAGAGAAAGAGAGAGAGAGAGAGTGAGAGCGGGTAGGGAGAATGAAGTGAGCAAGATTGATTCGAATATATATCGATTGTTTTCGACATGATCATGACAATCGTTTATTCAATTTCATTAAAAACTGCATAAAATATCGATTACTACCGGCTACGCACAACACACAAATCGTATATGTACGTTTCATTCATGATTTATTTGTTTGTCAAAATGACGAGAATGAGAAAATGTTCATGTTGGTTCATGTGATCGACAGATGGCACTACTGTGACCATCAAATTGATTTTGATTTCGCATCCGGTGCTATGTTGACTTGAACTTGATCATAATTGATCCCAATCATGATGAGGACAATCATACGAGTAAAGCCTAAGTAAACAATCTGATGATGATGACAGGATGGATTGTTGTTGTTGTTGTTATTGTTGCCGGCATCATCATTATGGATTTCATTCGAATTTTGTGAAAATAAACAAGAAAAGTGGGGTTCGATTTTGTTTACTATGGGCCAACGGTTGAAGATGACTGCACTGTCTACATTGTTTGCACACATTGACAATTGGATTCGGATTAACGACAATCACCATTCTGTTATGTTTCAGTACCCTATTGATTATAATTAGAACCAACAACATGAGACATGAGTCAGTCATGTCATCTGATTTGATTTTGTTTCTAAAGCTCACGAATCAACTTGAGTTCTAATTCATGAGTTTTGATTTGGATCAATTTTTTTGTCCATTTCAATCAAGTAAGCACCAGGTAAGATGGGCTGATGAAACCATGGCAAATAATCGAATGGTTGTTGCTCGGTTTCCATATACAAACACAGAGAAAGATCACCTATTGTTGATGAATGAAAAAATGATTCACGCCCAATGAGAATCTAGCTAATTTTTCTTATACCTGGTGTGTGTGTGTGTGTGTGTATGTGTCTGTTTTAGTAAGTCAAGCCAAACAAGTTTTTTTTTGTTTGCAATCGATACACCGTTATGTAATGATGAGACGAACAAACAACCGTTCCCATCCATCCATCTCATCATCAGAAATGAATGAAGTTCAGCGAGGTGTGTCCGCACAAAACTGAAAAAATCCATCATCATCATTGTTCAAACTGATGTAATGATGATGGTCTCATGTTGATGGCCTTTGAACCGTTAGGAATCAATTAATTCTGTGCTCATCATACCTGAGTTTATCATCAATATTACTGGATGTGTGTGTGTATGGGGATCGTTAACGGTAATGATGACGATGATGGTGGTTCATTTCTCACGTCATCTGGGACAGTTGGAAAACTTTTGAATAGTTCAGGATAGTTTAGGATTCTCGCGATTAATCGGACACGTACCACCACAACGTTGATCAGGGCATTGTGTTTGCCACATTGAACATGACAGTATTGTTGGTCATTAAAACACTAAGTTGGTTGTATAATGCCTACCTGGTGGACACAACATGAGTTCATTTGCTTAAATTGAGATGGTGGGAATTCTTTATCTTTACCACAATTATGATGATGATGATGGTCAACAGCAGTTTTTTTACGATCGGCGTTAAGCGAATGGGGCTGTGTTCGTATAGCGCGATTAGATAAAAAAGTCAAATCCACAGTGACTTAGTGATGTGTGACGACCATATATATTGGCTGACCGTTATATGTTCTTCTCAGACCCGTTATGTCTTTGTAAGCATAAATCCAAGAAGGATTCCAACTAAAACAAGCCAGACACACCAGGGTAACTATGATGACAATCAAACACTAGCATGTCCCCTTCCGTCATGCCATTCACCCACCCAAACACAACACACACACACACACACTGTACAGTGCACACAATCTAATCCATTAAGAGTGATTCCGTATACGGAATGGATTTGATTCAAGTAAAAAAGCCAAGTAATAATGGTGACAGCACAAACACACACACACACACACTATCAGTCTATCTAGTCTGCAATGAGAATGCATACCTGGTAAATATCGTTTTTTTGGCTGATGGATTCACGTAAAAGTTTAATAATAATATGATTATTGCCCATATTGCCCATATCGGCAATGAATAGAGGAGGATATAATAGTCATTATTTGTGCGACATAAGCAAAGGAATGCCAGTCCAATTACCTAAACATTTAAGCAGGAATCGGGATCCAATTCTATGACAACCGAGAACACAGATGGCCAATGTTTACCCAAAACAAAGAGCTACAATAGAGCAGAGTAGAATATTGATATTTGTTGTTGCCATCTTAGTGAATGTGTGTGTGACCAAACCGAATAAGGCAATGTGTGGGTGATTATTATCTTAACAAATCAGCAAATCTAACAAAAAAAAAACCAACAACCAAACGCCCATTAACACAGAGTATGTCAACACAATTGACAACCAATACAAAGACGATTCGATTCATATTCTATGGTAGCAACAACAAACAACAACAAAAATATTTTCTCAGTAATTGATTTTGCGAAATTGAAAATCCAATTTTTCTCTACAAGTCTAATGGTTGTAGCCACAAACAGACAGAGAAAGAAGCTGATCAAATCTGCTCAAATATTTCAAGTTCATTTGAAAAGGAATTTATTTCCTTTTCAATCGAAAATCTTGACAATCATAATGATCATGATGATGATGATCACTAGAGAGGCAGTCTGCCATTAGGAAACCCGGTTCGGACATTCATTGTCACCACCATTACACAATATCGACATACCAAACGCATTAATAAAACACACACACAAACAGGCAAGATATTTGCCTTTTGAATTCTCTTCACATCAATACACACAGCGAATGATGGTGATATGTGTGTGTGTGTGTGTGGAGAAAAAATTGGTTAATGAAAAGTTATTAGTTAATCGTTATTAATTAGTCATCATCATCATGATCACATTAGTTTGAAACAAATATTGCATTCACATTCCCGACATTATTCACACGCCCGGGATCATAAGATAGGGCTGCTACACACACACATGTTTAATCCAGATTTTTCTCCATGTTCGACAAATCGGTCATTTTTTTTTTTTTTTTTGGTTGCTGTCGGTGGCCCGATAATGTAGCTGTGCACGCAAAGCCATTCTCTCTCTGTGTGTGTAAACGATTCTTAGTTGCTTGGTTGGTTGGTTGGGTGTTGGAAATGAATGATTTTTCATTTTGCTTAGATGGTTGGTGTGTGTCGCGTATATCGATGGATTGCCATATATTATTCATTACAGCAACGACAGCAAAAAAAACCAGAAGCGGGCCCGATGGATTCTCAAATCTTCTGCTCTGGTTGTCTGTGTGTGTGTGTGTGTGTGTGTGTGTTGACAGCTAATGAGAATAATACGTGTTCTTATAGCCGTTAAATTACTTAGAAACAAGCCAAAACCCATTAAGCCAACCATGGATGGAGAACAAGGTACTCACTTATCTAGCCACTAATCGCTTAGTGTTGTATAACCATAACCAGATATCAACAAGAATGACTGAATGTATTTCTTTCGTAAAACACGTTTTCAAAAAAAAAAAAAAAAAATCCGTTTCGTTCGAATGCCATATGTCATCACTCTCATACGCAGACACACACGGCAAGTCAAGCAAAAATATTTCAAAACGGATTTGAAACCGTTTTGTTTGATTTGAAAGTGATGCAACATTCACATTGATGCATGTGCATGGAATAAAGATTCTCGAATGAGAGTAAATGTGTCCTGGAGGTTTGAAAGCGAAAACCGATTGTCGAATTTGATTTGAATCGTCTTAATGTGAACATATAATGCAATGATGACAGATGATTTTGATTCATTTCATTCATATGCACAGTGAGAGTGTGTCTTAAATTGAGTGGATGCAATTTGTCATCAAATTGACAATCAAACAGCAAAACAGTAAAACAGTAATAACCCTTTTTTGTCATTCATTTGGTTTCATTAAGATTGCATATAGATTGCCCATTGTCGAATGATAATGCCGGGTATTAAGTTGATTTGCCTTTGGGCCACTTTGACTCCATATTCTTGATAAGACGAATCGAATGCATTCATGGATAATTGTTTTAATTAAGACTCACATCATTCATCAACACTTTCACATGCTTCGAATTTCCAAAATAATGGCCATCTCTCTCTCTCTCTCTCTCTCTCTCTCTACACTAATGTATGGTTGGCTCATTAATAATCATTGGCGCATCAAGCAACTCGATATATTCCATTTCATTTTGGTTCGGTTGTGCTGCTGATGCTGATGCTGATCATGTGGTATGTTGTAATATTTAAAAAATAAACTTGATAGCCACAACGCAGCGAATGTTCTGAAAACAGAAACAGAGAGAGAGAGAGAGAGAGAGAGAAATAAATGAAATTTTAATTGCCTTTGATGTTTGCTTTATATTAATAATGACTGCATTACTGCCGTTGTTATGATTATTATGATTGTT